GACAGGGCCTGTGCCCTTACGCTATGGGGACCCCCCGTTGCGCCCTGCCTGGAGGCAACGACAAGAATTATAATCTGTACGTGACGAGAAACCCGTGACAACAGAAAAGATTGCTGCTTTTCTTGGCGGAGCGTCTTTTCATACCAATTGCAACGACAAAAATAACCGCGCTCTCTTTCCTTAAAGCACCGCAACACGTTGACATTGCGCGGATGTTTGACCGCCTCTCCAGTCCATGACGGCATGGTAATTCGGGATTCACCACCCAGACCAGGCCGTCTGCATGGCACGCAGCGCTAATGAACAATCACACAAACGCTGTTCCCGTGTGCAATCAATCACTCGACATGGGTGCAAATATGAGCACAATAAAAAAAACACTCGTGCTCGTACTGTACCATCATCAGTGAACTACTCCACGAGACGCAATGTAAAATAAAAACTGTTTGGACAGCTGACGTACTAAATCTATATAGTGTACTGTATACATACTATCTACAAGTGTCCGTCCGTCACGCTCTGGATCTCCCACGCGTTACATCGGAGGAACAAATTAAGGTGACAAAAACGTTTTAACTGGACATCTGTGAAAAAGAGCTTCATAGCTCATCAGACTTCTCCAGGATGAATAAAGATACGGATTCCGATTCTCTTGGCCGTGGACTGTCCCCGGAAAATGTTCGCCTTTCTGAATTTACAACATTTTGACCGTGCAATTTCGAGAGAAAAAAACCACGCCAGAACATCCAACAGCCGACGGTTTGTACGTGCTGACATCATCGGAACGCGCATTGCTCGAACAGTATGCAGTGATAAATGTGTGCTTGAGAGTACAGGAATTATAAAAAGAATTTTCTTATTATCCAGGAGAGCCACAGCAAGTCGTAGCACCCGTTTTCAGGAGGGTCCTGCATTGGGTTATTTTTAAGATGTTTTCAGCCAATTAATGGCACTTATACGTGTGGGAGGAAACCGGAGCGCCCGGAGAAAATGCTCCATCCCTGTACAGATGGAAACAGATGGTGATTAGTCCACTTGCTGTACTGCCTTCTCCTACACAGCTCTTTTTCAGAAGCGACCTGGATACAAATGATAGCTCAACGAAGTGGCTTATTGCGTAGACATGTATAGCAGCCAAATACTCTAAACGCAAGTTGATTCTAAATATTGAGGGAAAAACCGGAGGACCCGGAGAAAAATCCAAGCAACCACGGGGAGAACACACAAACTCCAAATATACAGGTGTCGGGGTCGGGATCAAACCCGTGACTTCCTGTATACCTGGCAAAGTAGTCAACATCTCACCACTGTGGGTATGACACCTCGACGCCCACGGAAAGGGAGTGTCACAACATCTGTGTGTCATCCACCAACCCTTGCTGCTGCCTCCACAGCGCTGGATTACAGGCAACGTGTGTACCCATCACCGCCCAGCTCTGAAGTAGCAGGTGAGCAAGTGCCATTTGGAAACGAATAGCTCCTCCAATTTCAGATTCCTGTGTAGCATGTCGGATGCAATATGTCACCGTGCAGTGTGTAACGTATGGCAGCTTGAACGGTCGACAAAGTCGAGCACCTTCCGACCCCACAATGCCATTCACTGCAGAGCGACGCTAGTTTCTGAACTGCGTGGCGCATTCTATGATCATCAACAAAGCACAGGTTCAGAGATATTCAAGAGCACTGGGCTTCCACGTGCCCAAACCTGATTTCACAAACGTCAACTGCTGCGCCGTCGCATTCGCGAGAGTTGAAAGACGACAGGATGTCAGTCAACATCCTGAACACCAAAGGTCAAGGGTCATCGAGGAGTATTTACCTCCAATGTTGTCCATCCACAAGTCTTATACATTACTTCAAAGCGTACGGGTGTGTAGACGCTAACAACGATTTATGGAAATTTCAGGGGATTCACGTAAAATTGCGTAAATTTTGCTTCGGTTATATCTCACGCACACGCACGGGGGCAGTGCCTGTACCAAGCCGTTTCCATGACCGTTGGCAAGTGGCCCCCGTGGCCGAGGGAGGTCCTGGGCCGTTCCAGTATCAACAGCGTGGGGCACAGGTCCAGGTCCCCCACACTCCATGAGCCACGAGGCCTCGGCCCCTCCCCCTCCATCCCCCCCCCGCCCCTCATCTCTACCACCCAGGGCCAGAGAGAAGCAATTAAAACAAGATTAACATAGATTTGAATGAGCTAAGGCTACGCTAATACATTTACCGTTTTTGTAAAAACGAAATTCCACTGTGTTTTTCCTCAAACAAAAAAACGCGGCTTTGAAGTTGAACTAAGCGAGGGGCATCTTCGACCACTCGTCTCGTTTCCATGGTGACCTTGTGACATCATCGCTGATTGCCAGGGCGGCCCGGGTGAACGCGTGCGGGCCTGGACCCTGAGCCCCCGTGGGACCAGGTCTCATCGCTCAGCAACCGATGTCGCCGGCAATGGTCGCCCTAAACTTGCGCCAGTGGATCATGGCCCGGTTTAGGGGTTGGCTTTAGGGTTAGAGTAATGGCGAGGGTTTCACGGTTAGGGTTTAGGGGTTGGCTTTAGGGTTAGAGTAATGGCGAGGGTTTCACGGTTAGGGTTTAGGGGTTGGCTTTAGGGTTAGAGTAATGGCGAGGGTTTCACGGTAGGGCTTAGGGGTTGGCTTTAGGGTTAGAGTAATGGCGAGGGTTTCACGGTTAGGGCTTAGGGGTTGGCTTTAGGGTTAGAGTAATGGCGAGGGTTTCACGGTTAGGGTTTAGGGGTTGGCTTTAGGGTTAGAGTAATGGCGAGGGTTTCACGGTTAGGGTTTAGGGATTGGCTTTAGGGTTAGAGTAATGGCGAGGGTTTCACGGTTAGGGTTTAGGGGTTGGCTTTAGGGTTAGAGTAATGGCGAGGGTTTCACGGTTAGGGTTTAGGGGTTGGCTTTAGGGTTAGAGTAATGGCGAGGGTTTCACGGTTAGGGTTTAGGGGTTGGCTTTATGGAGAGAGTCATGGTGAGGGTTGAGGGGTTAGGGTTTAGGGAGAGTTATGATGAGAGTTTAGGGGTTAGGGTTTAGCAGTTGGAATTAGAGGTTCGAGTGGCGGTTCGGGGATTTGGATCAGGGGTTGGAATTTAGGGTTCAAGTGGCGGTTCGAGTTTAGGGATAGGGCTTATGATTGGAGTCAGGGGTTGGGTTTAGGATGAAGGATTTGGGGTTCTGGTTAGGATATATGGTTTGGGTAAGGGTTTATGATCAGGGTTGGGGTTAGCGATAGCAGGACCTAGGCCTACTCTTCTTGCCACGCTTCTGCAGAAACAGTAATCCTGTCCCGGCTATATAATTGACACGGAAAGAGGCTCAGCCATGTAAACCGCATGGGATATCAACACAATTGCTTTGAATTCCCCTCGCAGGCAAACACTTCATAGGGGAACAAGATGAACGAAATTTATAACAGCTGACGCACGCCTGTAAATGCGTTTTGTAAATACCAAGGTGACACAAAAGACACATATCCTTCGTATAGCCTTAACAGACTATTGGGGCAAGTGCTATGAGCAAGCACCTCAAGATGACACTACCACACTAGGCACACACACACAAACAGTAGCGTATCGAGTGGGTGGGAAGTCTCCATACCCCTGTCCAGTGCGATCCATTGGACTCAGAGGCAAAAGGGTAAATGGACTGCTCGCCCCCACTCTGTTTGCCAGAGAACCCCCCCCCCCCCGTGTCCAAGAGGGACCTGGGTTACAGAGTCAAAGACAAGACGAGCGCAGAACAGTGCGCGTAACGTTACTGTGTGTGTGGCCCAGTGTGTGCCTTGAGGAATCATGTGTCTTTGTATGGCCCAGGTAATTACGTGTGTGCTGTTGTGTGTGTGTGTTAAGGGGAGTGGTAGTGTAGCGGTTAGCGCTGCACTATGAACCCGGTGGCCCGAGTTCGATTCCCACTCACAGTTAACACCAGTGACGATTTTATCAACTGGTCCTGGGCCTCCCCTAGGTCGACTCAGCCTCAAATGAGTACCTAGTGCGGGTGTGCAAACATGGCCACTGGGGAGACAAAGGCGGTCGGGTGTGGTGCTGGCCACCCACCTCCTCGTGTGCAGTACCGGCCTTCATAGGTGCTGCTCGCTATCAGCAATTGCCCCAACAATCTGTTAAGGCTATATGGGGGATCTTTGTCTTGTTTTGTGTGTGTTATGGTCCAGACATTAGCCACACACGCACAGGCAGTCGAGGCACTCACACGCACAGCCCACATAACCGTCCAGGAATATCTGCATCGAGCACAGAAGTGCATATAGGCATTCCGTTACTGCAGTACACACGCACCGTTATCAGACTTGCATTCAAACGTGTATAAAGACAACGATCCCCCGTATACAGCCTTGACCAGGCTGTTGAGGCAAGTGCCGTTAGACGCAGCTGTACATCTGTAAGGGATCTGCGAGCCACCCTCACGCCATAAATTGTTGCAAACAGCGCACACGGGCGTTACACCCAATTTGTATATCACAGTAGCAGGCATGCACACAAGCACATGATGCATTCATAATTTGCATTGTTTGGATAGGCGGACAGATGCATATGAAGGCACACACGATACACACACAACAGACAATCTCCTGCTGCTGTATTGTGCAGAGCAAAGATAAAGATCCCCCATAAAGCGCTGACACACTGTTAGGGCAAGCGCTGTTAGCGAGCACCTATGAAGGCAGGAATGACGGCACACGACGGTTGGGTCGCCAGCACCACGCCCGGCCGTATTTGTCTCCCCAGTGGCACACATTTGATGCCGAGTCGACCTAGAGGATGCCCATGAACGGTTCAGATAATCGTCACTGGTGGTGGCCGTGAACGGGAATAAAACTCGGGCGGCCGGGCTGGTAGCGCAGCGTCGGCAACACAAACAGGCCCACACAAACACACAGTCATCAATCCACCACACACACACATACCAGTGGATGCTACTGTTTACAGCCACTGCCATTGTCGAAGCGGGAATAATAAAATGACACCCACCTCCACTCCCCCACCCCCTCCCCTCCGCTGTCGATTCCTCCTCGGCTGGATGCGGATGCTGCCGATGGAGAGGATGGAGAAGAGACAGCCGCGGGCTGCTGCCTTGCACGTCGCACCGTGCCACGCACACGGCTCAGCAGCAGCAGCAGGGAGGATGAGGATGATGGTGGTGGTGGTGAGGATGATGATGAGGATGATGGTGAGGATGATGGTGGTGAGGATGTTTGCTACACGCAGGGGCTCCTCCGCACGGCACGGGTCACCATGTCCGCCAGCCCCACATCACCTCCCTCCCCACCTCCATGTGCAATGCAACAGCAGCAATAGCGACGATGCCGAGATCACGAGTTCACGTGTGTTGTAGGTTAACGAACGCGCGGCCTGGCTGCTTCGGCGTCACCATGCCCCAATCCGCAGCAATGACTCGGCTGCCGTGTCCGCTGTTGCCCGTCGCGTCCTTCTACACGAGATCGCGCGTTCTCCCTCTCGCCACGGCCGCATCACCAGCAGCAGCAGCAGCGCCGCCGCCACATCCCCATTCCCCGTTGTTAGCAGGAGCCTCCTCCTCCTCTCCCGCCCGCACGGCCGCTTCGCGCCCTTCAGATTCCGTCGCCTTTGTAGTCACCGTCGACGCTTAACGCGGAGCGCTCGTGACTGAGAGGAGGGATGCGGTCGAGCAGAAGCAGCAGCAGGAGGAGGAGCGGGGAGACATCGCCACCAGCGAGCCGGGGAGGCTCTGCAGGCTGCGCTGAGCCGAGCCTTATGATGTCACCGCGCTCATTCAGCCACACCGAGGCAGCACCAGCAGCACCGTGATCCTCAGCAAGCCATGATCAATCCGCTGCTGGATGAAGGCCTCCCCGCTCCGAGCAGCCGAACGCCTCTGACCGTGCAGCGATGGAATGCACCACTTAGCACCTACACACGGATCGATTTCACTGCTCCATCTCCCTGCTGGACGTGCTTTCGGACGTGTTCCATCCCTTGGCTGCCACTTATTTACGCGCAGACGTCGAGTTTTGTGACGCATATATCCCTGTGACGAACTCCCGACGTAATGTATATAAATAAATAAAGTCGCAATCCACCGATGGATTAAGGACCTCGCTCTCACTCCACCCAATGTCGGTCGTGTGGAGGTTTGTTGACCATACTTCAGCACCGCCGGTGAGTGCGGGTTGGTGAAGGTGGCGGATGGACCGGTCCTGACATCACTCGGCTCTCGTGTGTTAGCCCCGCCTGGGACTCGAGATCGGGTGGCTCGGTTCGCAGCACGGTGCTATAACCACTGCACCACCGCTCTACCCCGTGCAACATTGAAAACATTGCACGATCATCCAGGGGAGACCCATTGAGTCATAAGACTTTTTTCAGGAGGGTCCTGCCACATTGGGATGCTTGCTTGGCCATTCCCATGAATGAGAGTTTGGCTTCCTGCCGGAGGCAACTTCTTTCGTACCGTACGTCGCCAACCGCGCTAATCGGAGACGCGGGGAAGGACAACAAACTACACACAAAGCAGTTCTACAGAAATGAGTCTTCAATACAGAATATTTAAAAGTGCGCAGCTCCCAGTGGCTTCCTGATATCGGAAGAGTTCCAGACGGCCGCAGAAGCGCATCTGAAAGTACGCGATGCGATGATACCGTCTTTATTCGAAGGTTAGCCAAAAGTGGAGTGTAGTGTATATAAGTGTAGTAGTGTAGATTAGTGTATAGTGTATTATATAGCAGTGTAGTGTATATCCTAGTGTAGTGTACAATGTAGTGATCTAGATGATTGAAAAGTGCATAGCTCCCAGTAGCTCCCTAATATCGGAAGAGCATTCCAGACGGAGATGAGGGGGTCACACGAATGACCCAATCCACGTGCTGTGCTACCATCTCCTGGCGGCACAACTTGGGAGGGAGCTTCACAAATTTATACGCGAGCCACCAAAAACCCCTCGCCTCCGAAGTGCTGGATCACACGGGGCACCTGAATGTCTCAAATATTGCCACGTTTTATAAACGAGTGAAGAAGATCCGCGACTCTTGAGACGCCGCGTGGGGTGGTTCATTCAGGGCGCACTTCCAAGAGCAGCTGACGCGTGAACGAGACCGCCACTGCCACTTGCCTGACAACAGTGCATGGCGCGCGTCGCGTTTGGCATCTTTGCACCGATGCAAAGGCGTCAACCCGGATCGGTGGCGCTGTGGTGCAAGGTTGGCCCGGGCTCGCGGGCAGATGGCCACATTTGTATAACGTCATAATTCAGCACTTGGAGCAAAGCTCTCAACCAGCATCCCATCGGTGGGAGGTCGCTCCTTCCCTGCTGCTGCCACCGTCTCTAACGTCCCCCCCCAATCCGTCCGTGCTGCCGATTCCCTGCCCCTATTAAAGTCCAAGGTTAAATCTTCCTTTTCTCCGCTGCCTACGACTGATAAATATGAACGACTGCCCTTTCGTCCCCGTTTAGCACACGTTACGCATCTTGTACATCACTACTTCTCAGCCCTTTTCGTATTCCACCACTATCTTGTCGAGTTTGCTCGATTCTCACGGCAAACGGAGCCACAAACGGAGCCACAAACTCACTGTGGGTCCGGATGGGTCGAGAGCAGGGGTCAGAAACCAGCGGCTCCACGGCGACTCTTTGGCTGCCCCTTGCAGGCATCCGTTTAAAAAAAAACTAAAAAATAATTTAACGTAAATATAATTGTTTAAATGACAGGGAATGGGTCACTATGTAATGTTTTAGTGACGACAAAATGTAGAACAAACTGTGTTGTTAAAGAATAAACTAAATAGACGCAGTTTATTCCATCACGTGTTGTCTGCTGTGCACCCGCTGCTGTGTCTGTGTACAAGTAGCTCCGTGTGTGATGGGGCGCTCAGAACTATTTTGGTCAAATGAAAAAACAAAACAACGCCTCCTCCTCTTCATCTTTGAAAAGTTGCCGAGCCCTGCTCTCGAGGCTGCTCTCCCAACTGCGCATGCGTGTTTTAGTAGTTTTTTTGGAGATTTTCTTTGAACCTATCTACGTGCCTTTACCGAAAGACCCAAAGAATATGCGCAAGCGTAACCGAGAGAGTTGAGAGGGTCGGGGAGTGGGGGCTGACGGCTGTCTGCCGTTCAGCACCGGGGTTGAGTGGTGGGGGTGGGGGGATCGGCCACTGAACGGCACGGAGGAGAGTTCGTCCCTCCCAGCCTGCAGACATTGAGGTTCTTTTCCTACAATTCCAAGAATACCGCAGCGCACCCGCTGGAAATTTTCCGCAGAACATCAGTTGTGCAGCACTTTTGTACGTAACCTTGGGATGCAGTTGCATTTCGTGCTAAATTTAAATATTGTATATATTTTTTCTTGAACCAATATAAGGTTGACATTAGAATTATATTATATTAAGCACGATTTATATCTGGTTGAAGCCTTTATGCAACCATTAGTAGATACTGCAATAGCTTACCCCTCTTCTAAATGGTAGGCTCCTGAAAGATAACAGCTGACCCCTCTTCTTAATGGCACAATCCAATTGTGAACACCGGTCGTTTAAAATGGAGCGTCCCATTGTATTCATGATGTTAGGTGTTAATAACTGAAGCAATGTGTGCAAGTTATGAAACGTCGGTGATGGTTTGTTTTTTATTTATTCAAATATAAAAATTCTAAACGGTATTCCAGGTGAACACGATGCTGTTTTGACTTTTCCACTGGTTTTTGCACACATATAAAATTCTAATGACAAGGCTCTGTTGCTCCAACACCTGCGCTTGTAGCCAATTTACCACGGCTGTAGAATATTTTCACGTTGAAAGTATCACGTCCAAAGGCAGTGCGTAAAATCTTCCATGGCACATCTCACAAGGATCCTGAACGCAATGACAGACAAAGCCTTCGCCACGATCTACAGCAAGCATCGCTGGGCTCCTGTGAGATAAACAACTGAACGAACACATCGTCAACTCGCTTCAGTTTCCCACGAGACCGCTTAAAACAAATCACTGATGTGGCCTGCAAAACTGAGCGAATGTTCCCCAGCTTCCAGACGTTCACGTTGTCTTACGCGGGAGAGGGGAGGGGTGCAAGCCAGCTCTGCGTTGGCCCCCTTCGGCGGGCCGAGTGGGGGCTTGCTTTTCCAAAAGGGAGTGGGAAGGGCTTGCGCACTTTTGCTCGGGCTGCCTTCAGAAACGGTCGCGACATCGCGGCCAAAAAGGAAGACGCGCACGCCATCGATATCGTCCCTCGATTAAAATATGAACAACAGATTTAGCAGGGGACGAGCATATGCTAAGCCAAGCTGCTTTTTGTGTTTAGTTTGTCGTCCTTCCCCCACACCTCCGATTAGCACGGTTGGCTACGTGCGGTGCGAAAGAAGTCCAACATACATACGAGCATACATTCAATAAAAACAAATTGATTGCTCCCCTACAGATTTTTTTTTTATTTTACCAGCTAAGGTTCACTGAGCTACAGAGCTCTTTTTCAGATGCGACCTGGCCACAAACGACGGCTCAACAAAGTGGCTTATGTGTAAATGTATAGCAGTAGCCAAATACTCTAAACACGTTGATTCTAAATGTGGGGCAAAAAAACAGAGGACCCAGAGAAATATCCACGAGGAGAGAGAACATACAGACTCCAAATACACAGCAGGCGTCACATGGTCGGGATCGAAGCCACGACCTCCCATTTACCAGGCAAGGTAGTTAACATCTCGCCAGCATGGGGGAGGTGGAGGCAGGACCTCTCGGGGTCCACCAGGCCGCACCGAGCTTTGGCTACCTCTGGCCAACTCCTTGGCCGGTCACAGCTGTGGAGATGATGAGGGCAGGGCCACGAAGGGGGGCGGCACAATCTCCACGATCAGCCTGGGATCAAACAGCGACGTCCACTTAATGGTAATCTGTGAAAAAAAATAGTTCTATTACGCTACAAAAAACTCAGGTAGTATTTCTCCACGCTCAAGCAAGCATCGGGACAGCATTCATCGTCATTGGAAACCCAAAACCAACAGTGGAAATTACACAATTCTATGGTGGGGCAAGTCTTTCCGAAGGACACAGTACAATAATTCAAGAATGCCGCTTATATACATAATACAGGGAGATTTAACACGTCGGCTTCCGCGACCAATATCATCCATAATCGAGGTTTTTGGGTTGTATCGCGTAAATATATCAATGTGTCGTTAAAACCCGCCACCACCCGACACAGCCAATTTACAAACTGTTTATTACTCAGTTTGCAAATGTTGTGGCTTGGCTCTCCAACACACCGGTGTGCTGTACTAGTGACGAATTGGCCACGTTCTGTTTACGTGACAACCCTTACTAGTTGGCTGCGTCGGGTGGTGGCGGGTTTTAATGACACATTTCTACATTTACGCGATATAACCCAAAAACCTCTATTATGAATACAAGTGTTTTTCACATTGTGGTATGAACCTGGCGAACCGAATTGAATTCTCGTCACGACTAACATCAGTGGTGAGTGATATCTGTACCGGTCCTAGGTAACTCCCCCGCCCCTCTTCACCAGCCCGCATTGATCAGCACGGTGAAGTATGGCCAAACAAAACCCATGACTGACACTGCGGATTGGAGGTCTTCATCGAACCGTGAATTGATAAGAGGATGATTAATTATATTACGTGCAAAACATCAACCCATTTACAGCTGGTGGGGAAGAGGGACTCCACAATTTCACCATGACACTGTATTCACATTGCAATGTTTTTGTTGAACCCAAATTTAGCAGTGGCCAAGTTTTTTTATGTAAAAATTCCCGCTTTCTTCCAACAATTTCCCCATTCTCTTTGCCGCCGCCATCGTCATCTTTGTGAGGCTGTACTGGACATCTGTGAAAAATGACTTTATATCTCATCGGATTCCTCCACAACATTCCTCCTGCAGTATAAATAAATACATATTCTGAGTGGAATGCGCTTCTCACTGTCGTTTCGCGCGTGAGGCAGGGTGCAGCCTCCGCCCTTGGAGAGTTGCCCTCGGCATCACTCTCGTACTCCAACTCGAATTTTCCACCCATCCGCTTGCCTGGAAAGTCATACGGCAAAAACAAAACATGGGACCATCTTTGTAAAACTGTAGTGACTGACTCAGAGACACTCAGAGTATGAGGCACTCTGTTTATTAACACGGCCTAACAGTTAACACTTGGTAACTACGGTTCCCAGTCAGGACAGCTGGTAGACTGCCTGACTGGCGACGCCGAGACGGTGAAGACGGAGACGACGGTGAAGACTCCAGCAGCAGCACGACGGCGATCCTCCCACTCCACACGACAGCCCCGAGCTCCCCTCCCGGGGCCCCTCTTATACCGCCAGCGTGGCCTGGCTCCGCCCACGGCCACGCCCCCCTTCTGGAAACTTCTCGCGGGTTCTCGATGTGCCCCTTCCGTAACCTTTCCCCAAGATCCCTCTCTGGTCTATCACGTGGCCTGCTGTCAGTCAGGGCTGCTGTAAGCCGCAGATCCCCTTCCCTGCCAGCAGCCAGCGCTATGCTGCTACGTGACCGATTCCATGTCACTACAAAGTACCAAACCACTAATACCCTTTGTTTGAGCGTCGCAGTGGCGAGATGTTAACTACCTTGCCTGGTATATAGGTCGTGAGTTCAATCCCGACCCTGACACCTGCTGCATATTTGGAGTTTGTATGTTCTCCCCAGTGGAGTCATTAAGAGAATGCCACTGCATGCGAGTTACCATCTGGCTACACCGGCAGGCACTAAGAGATGCCGATGAGGTGTGTCTCACCTGGCAAATCGGTGTTAATATTTGTGGAAGGAGGGGGGTGGATAAGAAGGATTTAAATCGTTAACCTGAGAAATAAAAGTAGTACAAGGATGAGCCCTTGTATATGTGGCCACCTTCTCATATCATTGTGGAGAGATGGCAATGCCATAGCGGCTGGCACACCATTATATTTATAGCGAGCTTATTTTAGAAATTACTCTTTGCATTGTGCACGTATACAATTTGCATCTCTAAGGTTTTGTACCAAATAAATCCCGACAAAAACTGTCAGTATACCACGCCGATATGACCCTCGGCCTTCTCTCTGCTCTGCAGAGGTGCCGCTGCCCGCAATGTTCGGCGTGCAAGCTTTTTCCAGCTAAATCGCCAGATCCGTTGCTTAGGTGGCGAGACGGTGGCGATGGCGTCTCCTCCCGTAGCGGAGCGCTGGCCTTACCTGCCGATGGGTCCGCCTTGACCGTAATCTCCAATTCGCGGGAGATGGGGTCGTACATCAGCACCTCCCCCTCCTGCGTGGGGCACAAAACGTGACGTGAAAATAGACACAGCGCCGTCGCCGCGACGTGGAAATGAAAACGAATGGCGGAGGCGTCACAGCAACATCGAACCCCTCTGCTCGGAAAGGCCTCATCCCATGGAGTTTCAAGATGGCTCCTTACAAGGGGTCTCCGTTTCAAATATTTCGGTCCGTTCTTTTCTATTTTTTTGCTTTTGCATGTGGGTGAAAGCTGGCGTACACAAATTAAACGCACGTCTACGACTTTGACGGTTTATTTTTAAAAAAGCACACACAGAAGCGAACCTACTTTATGTGTTGCTTTCTACAGACCACTTTAAAGTAAACTCAACTCGTGTATATGAATGCATATCCAATATTGTACACGCAGAAGCAACCTACTTGCCTACTGATTTCCACAGACCACTTTAAAGGTACAATCGATCCCACCTAAAGTCACCGCCACCTGCACATTCACACACTGTGGACTGCACTGGCAGGGGGTTCCATTATATCGCCAGACTCCGTGATAACGCCATGACAACGTGGAGTGGAACTCACTTTGTAGTCAGAGACTTCTGGGGAGTAATTGTCATTCATTTCCAACATCTGGAAGAGAATAAAAAGTACAAAAACATCACAGGAATGTATCGGCTTCAACAATTCACAACATTTTCATTTCAATTGATGTCCCGCTCTTTTGTACAGCGTCTTTATTTGCTGTTGCACTTAATCGTAATAATTTTTTTTTAATAATGCGCAGTATATGGAAAGCAGGAAATTAACAGAACCTGCAGGGTGAATGGGCCGGACAAGGGGGTAAAAGACCAGTTTAAAGAGGCCAGTTTTCAAGACAGACTTAAACATATCTAATGATTCTGATTGTCTTGTTCGCAAAGGCAAAAGCGTTCCAAAGCCTGGGAGCTGGACTGGCAAAATCCTGATCACCCCAGGGACAGAGCCTGGACCTTACAAAAAGGCGATGTGAAGATCTCATCGCTGATGTATAAAGATGGATCTGTTGCTGTAAATATTATGGGGCGAACCCCGCCCATCTCTAAACCTTTGTAATGAGAGCCATGTATGACTCACGTGGCGATCGGCTTGCCGGTCCCGCTTTGTAGCCAATGAGGGGAGAGCCCGGGAGCATGGTCTCAGCGTGATCACGGCATGTTAGCTAAGGTGATTGGCTTGGCCAATCTTGGCCTCAGCTAATGGGAAGCCGGATCAGAGGCGTGGTCCCGGGAGTTGACGGGGAGTGATCTGGAGTGTTCGACGCTGACTACTGAGGATTGGCTTAGGGGTACCACGTGACCCAGGGGTTAAGAGGAGGAGAAACGGAGGAGTCGGGAGCAGACCTGGGAACGAAGAGAGCAGGAGCCACGCGTGTACGGGGCTCTGGGTGCCACGTGAGCGGTGCGACTTCGCTGGCTGTCTGCCCACTTCCCGTTACCTGCCAGCAACGGGGAGTGTGTGTAAACTGTGGAAGTGGAAAATAAAGGACTGATTCCAGAAGCCGTCTCGAGAAGGTTTATTACATTGGTGTCAGAAGTTCTTCTGGGACCGTTTGGACGATCTTCAAGATGTCCAAGCACCTCAGAAAGAAGAATCCACCCGAGCCTCCATCGGAGGAAGTTGTCGAGACGGACGAAGATGATCTGTTGGGGGCTACAGCTCCTCTGCCGCCGGCTGCTGCTACTCTCCTCGACACCTCTCAACGCCTCTCAACGCCGACAGGGTGAAGATACGACCACCTCAGGGGCGAAGGATGGATGGCGGCTGATGGCGGAGCAGATCGAGTCATTATGCGCAATTCTGCTGAGTTTGGTGACAGCGGTGGCATCCTCACCAGCCGTGGGTCGCCAGATAGCAGGCCAGCTCAAAGCCGCGGATCGAGATCCTGCCCAGGAATCGGCGTCCGCCACTGCCGACCCGCCCAAGATGTCGGGAAGAGGCCGACATCTTGGGCGGGTCGGCAGCACCGGAGCCGTTGGGCGCCATTTTGTGCGAAGCTGCCACCACGCGGCCGCCGGACGCCATTTTGACTGCAACAGGTGGAACGCGGGAAACGAAATCGGAGACGCCCGCGGCGTCTGCCTGCCATCGCGGACATCGCCTTCCACAGATTAAGGAATTTATCGCCGGGGGCGATTGGAGTTCTTTTACGTGGTACTTCGAGTCGGCCTTCAGATCCGTGCGATGGACGGAGGCGGAGACGCTGGAAGCGCTACCTACACTGCTCGACGATGTTTCTCTGGGGGTCTTCCGCTCCATCCCGGCGTCCAAGAAGAATACGCTTCGTGATGCTTTCGCAGAGATGGCGGAGTTCTACGACCCGCCGACAGCAGCCACGAGAAAATTTATGTCACGTCGCCGAGGATCGGAGGAATCGCCTTTGGCTTATCGGGGGGCGTTGATGGCGCTGGCCATGGCCGCTTACCCCGACGCGACGGCCGATCATCTGGATCCTCTCATCCTTTCCCGTATGCTGGAGCTGTCCCAGGAGCTCAACATTTCGCTGCCGGTATGCGGCCACGAACCGCTCACATCGCGATGGGTGGCGCGCTGCCTGGACGCTAAGTTTAACATCAAGCGCTGGGACCAGATGGCGGCGTGGACGGGGAAACCCGAGATCGACGGCCCACCCTTGGGGTGGTCTCCACGACGGGTCGTCCACTGCTCCGACGACTCCGGCGACGACGAGGTGCTGGCTGCTGCTGTTCCGCACGGGATTCCGAGACGGTGGCTGCGCGACCAGCGTGGTGACTATGCAGGCCGTCCACGTGCGGGGGCCGAGTCGACCGACCACCGGCCGACGACGGCCACGTGTTTCAAGTGCGGCCGACGAGGCCATTTCGCCCACGACTGCCGCTGCCGACCTCTGCCTTCGCCACTTCCGCCGAGGGGGCCTCCATCTCCTCCACCGGGCGCGGAGCCGCGACACCCTCGGGCGAGTACCCCACAAATCAGACACCCGGCACCCGGCAGGTCGTGTCACATCATTCATCCACTCGCACTCATAGTTGCACTTCTGATGATAATTGTCATTCTTCTGCATCATTTCCACGCTCTACTACACAATGGAAAAAAATTGGCTCGTAGGGTTGTGGCTGCGGCATCGGGCTCATCGACGGTACGGGGTACCATCGAGGGCATCGACGTCCAGTATTTTGGTGGACACTGGCGCATCTGCCACCATCATTTCCGATGTTATTTTTCATCTTTTGTCTATTCCCACATCGCGAATACGTCGGGTTAATGACGCGTGTGTAGCCGCAAATGGGGGTAGCATGGGTATCTGCGGTCAGGTCGATGTGTGTATCGCTATCGGGAATATTACCGCTAAGGGATCCGTGTTGATCTCGCGCTCGCTAGCCGTCCCATGCTTGCTAGGCACAGATTTCTTGCGCCGAATGCCACTAAAGATACGGGTCGACCAGGATTGTTTGGAAATGCCGGGGGGTCGTAGGATGTCGTTCCTGCCTTCCCTGCTGGCCAGTTCGCCTCCGGGTAACACAGTTACCGCCATGGTCGCTGCTACGGTAGAAGTCCCATCAGGCGCACAAATGCTCATTCCGCTGCGTTACCGGAAACCCCTTCAAGTTAAAAAGGGTGCAATGGGCGTGCTATTATCCCCGTCTAATTCGGTGGCTAAATCTTTTTCCTTGGCGGCAGCCCAAACGATCGTACGGCCAGGTCAGGCACCGTTCATACAGGTGTTGAATGGGGGGCCGGACCGGGTTGTTGTCCCGGCGGGATCGGTGTTGGCTCACGCCACTACCAATTTCGTCACTTTTGACAAAAAACCGCACGCCCGAATACCCACTGGTGGACCTCCACGCGATCGTTCACAGGAACGGTGGATCGCGGACTTGTGCGGGGAAAATTGATCCTTGTCGAACGAGCAAAGAACTGCTTTGCATTCATTATTGTTACGGTACGCTGATGTTTTCAGCAAAAATGATTTGGATCTCGGCCGCACGTCACTTTTGTCACACCATATTGACACCGGTGCGACACCTCCCATCTGTATGCATCCGCATCGCATGAGCCCGGCAGAAAGGGAACATGTGCGCGGCGCAGTGGACGAGATGTTGGCGGCGGATATTATTTTGCCGTCCAACAGCCCTTGGGGTGCGCCCGTGGTTCTGGTTAAGAAAAAGGATGGTGGGACAAGGTTTTGTGTAGATTTCCGCCGGTTAAATAAGATTTCCGTGGCGGACGCGTACCCTTTACCAAGGATGGATGACTCATTGGACGCTTTATCGGGTGCTAAATTCTTTTCCACCCTCGATCTGTCCTCGGGCTTTTGGCAGCTTCCCCTCGATGACGCGTCAAAACCCAAGACGGCATTCCGCACGCCACAAGGTCTCTTTGAGTTTAATCGGTTGCCTATGGGCTTGAATGCGGCTCCGGCGACGTTTCAACGACTCATGGAATTGGTACTGGCTGGATTACAGTGGGAAACGTGCCTCATATTTAGACAATATCATCGTTTTTAGCCGCACGTTGGAGGAACACCTCCAACGCCTGGAGACGGTCTTTCAAAGAATGCGGTCGGCTGACCTAAAGTTTAAACCTAAGAAATGCCACCTTTTGCAACACTCCGTCCGTTACTTGGGTCATATCGTCAGTTCGGATGGCGTGTCCACTGACCCTCAGAAAACGCAATGTGTCGGAGAGTGACCCACACCCACTTCGGTGGGCGATGTTCGGCGGTTTATTGGGTTCGCATCCTATTATCGCCACTTCGTTAAGAACTTTGCAACATTGGCTAAACCATTGCATGTTCTGACGGGCAAAAATCAAAGGTTTAAATGGGGCCCGGAGGAGGAAAGCTCTTTTCACTCGCTTCGGGATCACCTCGCCACGGCGCCTACGCTCAATTACCCAGACTTTTCCCAGCCGTTCATCCTTGACACGGATGCTAGCGATATCACAACGTAAAGACGGGGTTGAGCGAGTGGTTGCGTAAGGCAGCAGGGTTCTGTCCCCTGCAGAAACACGATATTGCGTAACGAGGCGGGAACTTTTGGCAATTGTGCATTTTGTCCGCCTGTACCGGCCGTACCTATATGGAAGGAAATTCCTCGTTCGCACTGATCACGCGGCTTTGCAATACTCCTTAAAATTGGACCATCAGGCCAATTGGCTCGGTGGTTGGAATCATTACAGGCATTTTCCTTCGATATTACGTACCGTAAGGGTGCCCGCCACGCTAACGCAGACGCGCTCTCCAGGCTACCACCTGTTCCCCCGTGCACTTGTCTGACGGGTATGCACCGCTGCTCGGCGCCGCTCACCTCGCCCTGTCCGGTTATGGGGGCGATAGCGAACGAGGCCAACCAGGAGGTGTCAGTGGACACTGATGATACCCTACAGCTGCCGCACTCGGTCTGGCTACGCGAGCAGGAGGCCGATACTTCGCTGGCTCCGCTGCGGAAATTGATCGGGAAACAAAAAGCTCAGTTAGCGGGATGGAAGTGGCGGATGTTCCGAGGCCAGGCGGGACTATTGATGTGTATCGATGGGTTGCCTGACCGACCACGCTTGGTCGTGCCTACTTCCCTTCGCTATGACCTGCTTCGCGCTCTGCACGCTGACAAATTGATGCACCTCGGCGTGCAGAAGACTTTGGCCGCGATGCAAAAAGATTTCTTCTGGCCCGGCATGATGGCAGACGTTAATGACTTTGTCCGCTCATGCCATGATTGTGTGAAGAGGAAACCGCCTCGGAAACAGTATGTGCCGCCATTACGTTCCATTGAGGTGTCCCGCATCAACGAATTGGTTGCTCTGGACATTCTCGGCCCGTTCCCTCCATCGGCTAGGGGCAATAAATACCTTCTGGTCGGAGTAGAATATTTTTCTCGATGGCCGATGGCCTGGCCTCTGCCCGACCAAACGGCCGCGTCCATCACTGATGCTTTCTTGAACGGGTACGTCATGGATAAGGGGGCACCCGACAGGTTGCTCACAGATCAGGGACGCAACTTCTCCTCCAAATTGCTCAAGGAGGTTTGCGAGGCGCTGGGCACAAAGAAGATCCGCACTTCCCTGTACCATCCGCAAACGGATGGCATGGTGGAACGATTCAACCGCACCCTCTCGGCTATGCTTTGTCACACGGTGAGTGAAAAGCAAACCGATTGGGACTTGCACATACCGAGCATCTTAGCGGCATACCGCATGGTTCCACACGCGTCCACGGGATATTCACCATTTTTTCTGATGTATGGCCGTGAGAACGTACCACCCATTGATGTGCAACTGGGTACGCCGAGTAAACAACGGTCCCGTTCCTTGCCTGATCACGTACGGGACTCGCTTGAACGGGTTACAGAGGCGCGAGAGGCCGCCAGATGTGCGACGGCCCGTGCGCAGGCAAGGAACAAGAGGTATGCGCGTCGATCGCGTACTCACATGCCCTGGTCGGTGGGCGACCTGGCATGGCTCCACTGCCCTCAGGTGCCGGTGGGCACATCCCCTAAACTGCACAGGCCTTGGCGGGGGCCTGTGACGTTGGTGGACATTCGGAATCCACAGAGTGTTCGCGTCCAGTACGGAAAACGTCGGTGGTACGTCCATTCATCGCGACTTAAACCCTATGTTAGTACGCGTGTTGATCCCTCATCTCCACTTGTTGACCTGCCGGGATCTGCTGTGACGAATACGCCGCTTGCCTCGCCCGTTGATCCCCAGTGGGACTGTTGTTGTACCCCCTGCAGATGAACAGGTTTTGAGGGCTGATGAAGCCCCCGCTGTCCCCCCTCCAATGGGACCTGCCCTGGACATGACCGAAAACGAACAATCTTCTTCTTCATGCCTACCACCTCCTGTCGAACCGGCGGCAAGGCGACCGTGCGCAGGAAGCGGAGAGGGTCCCGCGTCGCGTACGCAATCTAAATCTCTCCCGTTTCGTTAGCGTCTGATTGTCTTGCTGTCCCTTCCCTGTCGTTACCGCGCTGCAGGGGCGCCCTAATGTATGTCTGGTTGTTCATGAGTGATTCTGTTTTTAAGTGTTGTTCGGCGCATTGACGCCATTTCACCCTTTATTGTTAAATGTGCCTTGGCGCCCTAATAAGCAATTTTATGGAATCGGCTAATCACCCTTTTCCCAGCCGAGACGGCTGATTTTTTTCACCGGGGGGGGGGGGGGGGGGGTGGTGATGTAATGAGAGCCATGTATGACTCACGTGGCGATCGGCTTGCCGGTCCCGCTTTGTAGCCAATGAGGGGAGAGCCCGGGAGCATGGCCTCGGCGTGATCACGGCATGTTAGCTAAGGTGATTGGCTTGGCCGATCTTGGCCTCAGCTAATGGGAAGCCGGATCAGAGGCGTGGTCCCGGGAGTTGACGGGGAGTAATCTGGAGTATTCGACGCTGACTACTGAGGATTGGCTTAGGGGTACCACGTGACCCAGGGGTTAAGAGGGGGAGAGACGGAGGAGTCGGGAGCAGACCTGGGAACGAAGAGAGCAGGAGCCATGCGCGTACGGGGCTCTGAGTGCCACGTGAGCGGTGCGACTTCGCTGGCTGTCTACCCACTTCCCGTTGCCTGCCAGCAACGGGGAGTGTGTGTAAACTGTGGAAGTGGAAAATAAAGGACTGATTCCAGAAGCCGTCTCGAGAAGGTTTATTACACCTTTATACACAGCTTGCCCTCATATGGCTAATCCCCCTGTTCCTGATGACCGCTTGTGTTTTGATCGAAACGTCGTGATATTTTATTCACTTTATTTTTATTATTTTGTTATTATTTTTTCTATCTACGTGACTTTACTGAAAGAACCATAGAATACGGCATCAAGAAGTAATAGAAAGGGACTGAAGTATAAATGCTTTAGTCTGCAAGACAAATCCAAACTTTTTGATAGAATCGATGCAGGGTGTGTGTCAATGCGTATGGTGTGTGAAGAGTTTTGGAAAACAAATTTGGAAAACAAAAACTATTAGGGCAGGAGGCACTGGGGACATAATTCGGAATATTGGATAATTCGGCAAGGTCAGATCCCCATGTGTCAAATTAACAAGGGTTTAGTAAAGTATATTTATTGCCATCACCTTGAAAGCGATGTGGTCCCCTGCCCGTGGAGGTCCATCCAAGGTAGGAAGTGCAGAGTAATCCCTCTTGACCACCTCCACGGCATTCTGGACGGTGCACACAGACCACACGGCGGAGGTGACCGTGGCAGCGACAGCACCTTGCTACTCGCTTTCACACGCAGCTCCAATACCTTTTGGGTATCTCCGAACAAAAGGACTCGGTCAAACGGACAACTGTGTGGACTTTAATATAAAATCTTTATATTTGAATGTGTAAACAAACATGCTAGACTACTGTTAAAATGCAATTTGTGAGTCTAACACCGCTTTGTGAGTCTCACACCGAAACAGGAGAAATTCTCCACAATTCTGTATGTCGCCTGACGAGGCTGGTTGTAATTACCGGCCAAACATCAAAGTACTGGAATGTCGTAGGTTGAACTAGTAACTAATGGCCATGTTTTGTTAACGTGACAAACGTTACTAATTGGCTGTGTCGGGTGGTGGCGGGTTTAACGGCACATTTATACTTACACCACTGTTGCCTCTGGTTTCTGGTGGGCTAGGCCCCGAACCCAGTACCACCACAACGCCTTCCTTACCCACCTATTGCACGACTGCCAAACTCCATATCAACTGGAAAAAATCATGACCTCCATCCTGAACACACTTTGCTGGGCAGAATGTATGCCTCAGCTTCCTTGTAACATCCTGGCGACATGAACACCAAATCAGCACAAGCTTTCCAATAAAAGTGTTTGCAAGCGTGTATGTTCTTCAGGAACACAACTTCCACGTTACAGGAGAACAGACTGTATATTGAACATCTTGCGCACCGTACGCAGCCAACCGTGCCAATTGGAGGTGTGGGGGAAGGACAACAAACTAATCGCATAAAGCAGTTTTTTTTTTATCGGCCGATCCTTGACTCAGATCCCCAGGCATCTCCACCTCTTTCTCACTATGACACAGTCAGTCAGTATATCTCAGGCGAGGCCCATTGAGCTCAGCTCTCTTTTAATGGCTCTCTCCATTGGGTCCTCTGGACCTCCAAAGCACACCTCCCCCCATGCCCCCATGTCTGTTTATTATCATGCCGTGCGTCACACTGTATCAGGGTTCGGCAACCTGCGGCTCCAGAGCCGCATGCGGCTCTTTAAGGACTGCTGTTTCGTGACGTTATTTATGAAGGGCCACTGTCTCGTGCTCACATTGCATTGCGGCTCTTGATATATTCAGCTTTTTTTTTTTACAGAATTCGAAAAAAATGCTCTGCTTGTTATTTTGGTTGCCGACCCCTGAACTATGCCAAACAGCCTCCAGTGGCTTTGTTTAGTTGTGCTATTTATTAATACTATAGGCATCTAATGGATACAACCCCCGAGTAAATGAATGAATTCACATTATTGGGGTTTGCAATTCTATGCAATAATCTATCAATTAGTTTTTTGCTTCTTGTCCCGTTGGAGTTGTTTTGTTTTTCCTGTCTAGTTTGTATCGCTGTGTTTGTACTATTATCAAATGATCTGCGAGCATCTTAAATTATTTATTTTTTAATAATCAATTCTGACACGTGTGATTTGATGCATGTATCAAGAACCTCGGAAATAATTTTCATCCTTGCATTGAATGCTGGATGATAAACAACTTATATATTTATATCCAAAGTAGTTAGCCCGGACATTTAGTTCTTGGGTGGTGGATTGCTTCAATACTTCTGTTGAATTTTTCGGAGTTTTCAGCATTTCGCTATGTTGGTTGATGGTCGGTGTTTCCACAACTTTAACAACGAAGGTTAAAGAGTGGCCACGTTATGCAGTGTTTGTAAATGATGGCGGCACCTGCACTACGGTGGAGGCGTTGGTGTAGACATCTCCAGCTCCACTCTCTCTGCTCAGCTCCTTGCTGGGCAACACTTCCGGCTCTGAGGAAAACGCGTCGAAGCGCAAGTGACTGCGGCACTGAGCAGCGCTCTCCCCCACTGCCCCTCGGCCCCGACCGCCCCTCCAGCCTCTCCCTCGCCCGGGGAAAGGCTCATCGTTGGGCATCCCAGATGTCCCATCTTCATGCCGGCTCGGGTACGGAGTGCCAGGAAACGTTCCACAACTCCTGCATTCGAAAGAATACAGTCCAGTTAAGTACACGTTTAAAAGTGTACGCATGCTCCAACTACTGGACATCTGTCGACCTACTGCACATCTGAGAAAAAGAGCTTTCTAACTCATCGGATTCCTCCAGTATAAATAAATATTCTGATTCTGAAACAAGTATTAACATGGCACTCTCCCTCACTAAGTAGCCAGTGGTGGAAAGTCTAAATTCCCAAGGCGAGAGGCACTCTCCGAATCACAAGCACTGATGCCTTTTCATAAGGTGATCCATATTTTACTGACGCAGAGGGGTGTACAAGAGCTAAACTCATTCCCGACCAGCAAGTGACCTCACAACCGTGTGAATGCGAGAGCCGAGCGTTGTGCCAGTGACACCTGGCTGGATATTAAACACCTACACGTACCACACTCGAGACTACACTGGTGTATCTGCAAACAGTTATGCAGAAAAAAATATGATGACTCAAAACTTTCGTGACTGCAGGAATTCAAAATAATAATGATTATTTTTCTATCTCTGTGACTTTACCAAAAGAACCAAATAATAGAAAAACACATAAAAAAGCCACAAATTGCACACTAAGAATAAGTAATACTAGCCTTATTCTAGCGACTCATAACACGTACATTGTCTTTGCTTTGCTTTCTATTTGCTTCTATGGGTTGCTTTGTACAGCATCTAGAAAGTCCCTTCGTATTTAGAAGTTATATGTTAATATTAGGATTTTTTTGTTTTAAGTAAAAAGCCACGGCACCTTCCAATTCCACGGTTCCCTGCTCCATTCCACTTCCTCTGGCCCCTTCCCAGTCCAGACGTGGCTCCCTGGGCATCATCCTCTACTTCACATGGTGAATTTTCGCGCTGCGTGTTCTTCCCCCCTCTCCTCCCCGACACATTCATGGGCGTCGGCCCCACTGCGGGTTCAGCTTCCTTTCCACTCGACGCGTCTTCACTGCTGCTGCTGCCCGATTCGGCCGAGCCGTCCCCTTTCGAGGACTTCTCTGCAATGCTGCTCTTGGCGACGGCCGAAGGAGCTGCTGCAGATCTTGTTCCCGAATGTGGGCGAACCGTATTGTCGGCAGGACTGTTTAGTTTATTTCCCTTGTCATTCTCATCGCTGTCGGAGCTGGAGTCAGTTTCTTCCACTGGTTTCCCGGCCTTCCGTTGTTGCGTGGGAATCTGCACAGTTGCATGCATCCCACCGTTGGTGACCTTTCGTTTCCCTTTACCTTGTCTTGCACGTCCAGCACCTACCGTTTTATTTTTTGCGGCTTTAGATCCACTGCCTGATTTATCACTTTGGACACCATCGTCGCCATCATCACCTGAGCTCAAAGATAAGCTGCTTTTCGACTTCTGCTTGCTCACTGTAACTGCAACCTTTGATTTTGTGCTTGCTGCAGCTTTTGACGAAGTCCGTTTTCTTTCCTTTGTAAACAAAGCAGAACCGTTTTGTTGGGAATCAAATGCTTTCCTTTTCTCCTTTTTATCATTTGCCTGCACTCTGGTTTCAGATTTCCGGGAAACTTTATTTTTCTGGCGAACCTTCGTCGTTGAATTCTCGTGCTCAGAACCATCTTCATGCTCATCCTTCTCACTGCTGGAACTCACAGCTTTCCCGTGGCCTTTATTCAATTTATCCAATTTCGCTTTGACTTTACTTGTCTCAAATGCCTGTCTGGCATTGACTGTATCATCATCATTAACCTCTTCAGCTTTCTTCTTCTTTCTCTTCTTTGCTGGTGAGATTGAATTCACGTGGTTTTCTTGTAGGTCCTCTTGGTCCTTGGGAGACTCCGTTTCCCGTTTATTTTTCTTTTTACGCTTTCTGACGTTGTTGTGGACAGAGTCGCTTCCATCGCTGTCACCTTCAACGTGGCAGCTCTTCCTTTTCTTGCAAGATGGCAGCGACTGGCTCTCACCACTAGATGGGCACAAGTCCAGAAGTTCTGTCTGCCGCACACTGGATAAAAACAACAACACACACGAACTCAGAAACGAGGATAACCGACCCACCAATGAAACAGTGGCAACAGAATACTACATATGAGGTGGTGACGGTAATGGGAGGCCTTCAACCAGCAGTGGATAGAGCATGGCTGCTGGTGATTGTCAATGCACTGCTGGACGAGAGCCCTGCCAAACCGTGCCGGTTTTGCGAGTGACCAGGCTCTACCACGTTGGTCCCTTATGGTTCGTGTTGACGTAGAGCACAGATGTGGCAGCACAGGACTGCACAACATCTTCTGCACTGCCCTCTGCTGCCCGCATACTGGTCCACACCCAGTGTTTATTTTATTATCGTGTTCCCTTAAACCAGGCATGTCCAAAGTCCGGCCCACGGGCCAATCACGGCCCGCAGTCAGATTTCACACGGCCCGCAGCTTCGGTCTTATAAATCATAAAACTTTAAAGATGTAATTCCTCCTTTGACCACACGGTGTCAACACCATTCTAATTCTATCTGGCTCTGCATCCGTGCCGCGAACCCTTCTCGAGTCATTTCTGCCATGGCGACTGCAAAAAAAGAAATGCGGTCATTCGCTAAGAAAAAGCTGAGCTTATTCGGATCCACATATTTGTGTGAGCAAACATTCTCAGTCATGAACTTAAACAAGAACCGATTGAGGTCAAGGATGAGCGACTCCCACTTGCGTGACATTTTACGCATCTCAACCACTGCCCTCAAGCCAGACCTGGTCTCTTTACTAAAATCTAGATCTCAGTATCACCCTTCTCATTAGTGTCAGCAAGTTATCTGTTCCTTGATCAATCTGAAATTGAGTGTTTTGAACGGTAACATCTGTCACTATTAACAGTGAAAAGCCTAAAGCACACTAATGCACTTGGAATTATGGCACTTGTTTTATTAAACTCTTGAATAAGATTTGGTTATAACTGTTGATGTTATGTACCTGTAGATGTGACACAAACTATTGCTTTCTGAAAGATCTTGTAAAAGACAAGGGCAAAATTCACTTGTTTTAAAGGTTTATGATAACAGATCACTTTGCATTACTTATAACTCCTGTTTAAAATGTTCATGAGGCAAAGATATTTAACTCATGGAAATTTAAGGTATTCTATACAGTTTGTTCAATGTTATCTGACTGAATGAAAGGCAGAATTGTGTTTTTAGAGTTGTTCACGTCTGCCTGAGTGGCTTATATTTGGTTACATTGTCATTTGAAAAATAAAGGTAATTGTGACAATGAAAATTGTTTTATAACAGTGTGTATTTTCACGTAACTTTTGTGGTTAAAACAAATGTCAGAAGGAACTATTGGCCCCCGAGCATCTTCACTTTATCAAATGTGGCCCTCTTTGCAAAAGGTTTGGACACCCCTGCCTTAAACGGTTTAGATTTCATGGGACCTCCTTTGCTAGTAGCAAAATATGAGAATAGGTTTTCCCCTTTTTTTCTGGCAACAAAACAGGTGCTGAGATGTTAAAACACCAAACTGAAACCTTTTACAAGGAATCATGTCTGCATTAACCACAATACTTGTGGCCAGAATGCAAACAAAAAACATACTCCGATAATATATGCATTGTCTTTGAAACTGATTGGTCCACACCAGAGACAGCTTTCTTTTGAGCCTAGTCTCAACCTAGTCTCAAAACGATGTTAGACCAGAGGACGCCTTTTGAGACGAGGCTCAAAAGAAAGCTGTCTGATTCCTTTTAAAATGTTTGAGTTTGGTGTTTTAACATCTCAACACCTGTTTTGTTGCTAGAAAAAAGGGGAAAACCTATTCTCACGTTTTATATTTCTTTGAAAAATGTGAAACGTCGTTTATAAAAAAGCATTTCAATTACAGAATCGTCAAAAATGTGTTCATTGTAAAAGAAAATGAAATGCTTTTACTGATGTCCAGATCAAGTACCCCGACAGCGATCTCTCCTAGATTCCTGTCTGGTAATGGTGCATGCCCAGACTGCTGCGGTCATCAGGCCGCAAAGGTGAGAACTGCCAACAGCAGCGGGGAGACCCCCCCCATGAGGCTCATCGCTGGGACACCACGGTCACCGTGGACCACTCCGGCCTAAAACTAAAAACAATGTCCTTCCAGAAAAGCCTCACGGGAGTCCCAAAGGATCGCTTGACCCATTCCGGTTGAAACGCACATTTAGCTTCGTGCGTGCGGAAACCGGAGAAAACCCGCTCGGGCGAGTAGACAACTCAAAGGTCTACACAGACTGGGTTCAGGAAGCCATCTATCCAGCCCTTGCTTCAAAAGACTGGCTCAACAATCCTGACAGTTTGAACACGTCGGAGACTACCACCTGGTCGTATCTACAGATATCTCATACGAGCACGACGGCTCCCATCTCTGCGTGATCCAGGAACCATGCCCGGCTTGTGTGTGGCTACGGGGGTATGGTCTGCAAGGGTGGAGAGCCAGTGAAGTCTGTGAGAGTGAGATCCCTCGAGCGTGAGGTCCCATGGGAATGAGACCAGGGTACCATGTCACCAAACTCTGGTGACAGACAGAGGTCCAATGAAACTTGCCCCCCCCCCCAGCACCTCTGATTAGCACGGTTGGCTACGTATGGTGAAAAAAAAGTTCAACATATATACAAAGGGACAGTGAGGTCCCAGTAGGGGCCGGTCAGAATGTGACAACAGCTAACAATACAAAAACATGGTGAGAGTGCAACGTATTGGAAAGGTAAACAAATTACTTTAAAATATATACAAATAAAACTAAACTATTGCTATCTTACCATGTAAAGCCCACTGAACTATTAGCTTATTTTTTAGAAGCGACCTGACCACAAATGATAGCTCAACGAAGTGGCTTATCAAGTGAAAATTCATAGCAACAAATTAATATCAATAATTTCTACGCATGTTTCTAAATAGTCAAGTTTTTGTGTTTGTTATCCTTCCACAGCACCTCCGATTCGTACGGTTGGCTGTGTATGGTGCGAAAGAAGTTCAACATACAGTCGATCATCGATCAACTGGATGTAGATCGATGATCGACTTAGGGGGGTTAGGGAGTGCCGGATTTTCAAAAACGCCAGGTAATCATATCAGTATTTAAAATAACGTATTTTTGCACATTCTTGAATAACAAGTTTTTAGGTGTTGTGTAAAATTTTTTGTCTTTTAATTTTGTTTACCATATGAAGTTGGCCTAAATAAACATACAAAGACGAAAAATATATCTACTGTAAAAAGTTACTGTATTTACTGGACTGTGCTTACCACTCGAATCTCGAAGACTTGCATGGGATGATCATAGGGGGCTCGAAATGGAGGTGGTTATTCAGAGTCTGAATCAAACTCAATCAGCTGTGATGCAGGTTCGCCGGATCGGCCGAGGACCGGCGGATAATGTTGGAAGAAGTGGGTAGCAGCTTCCCTTCGATTTTTTATTTTCTTTATGCAAGCCACCCACTTTTATTGAGCACATCAAATTTGATTAATTCTGTGGTCAAAATAATTGATTTTCTACTTTTGAGTGCAAATAAAAGTGTACATTGAAAAGCTTGTTTATTACCTCATTATTTTGTGTGTGAACATCTTCACGTCTGCTTTATTGCCAGAAGAGCTAAAGTCTATTCTATTTTCCCCCCATTAATTTTGATACTGCCAAAAATGTCCCATGCATACATACACGCATGCAAAACACTACGCCAGTGTTTATCATTGCAAGGGGCCCGCGGACCAAATGTGTAAGCGGCCTCCCCTTGCAGGCGGTGCCGTGTGTGGCGTAACCCCTCTCACGCCGATGATGTCTTATCGGCGAAAGTGTCCCACAACTCTGGACAGATGAGCTGAACTCACTGGACCGTGTCTCCGTCGCGCACGAGCCCCACGGGCTCGGCGTGCGGCAGCAGGCAGCCCTGCACGAACAGCGACAGCCCCACGCGCCCGCCGAGCCCGAAGCGCTGGCGGATGAGGCACGCGAGGTCGGCCACCACGCGGCAGCGGCCGGGCTCCAGCGCCAGCCAGCACAGCCTCTCGCCCGCGGCCTCGGGCGGCGCGTACTCGAAGGAAACCTTGAGGCGGATCGGCGGCCGAGGGAACGTCCCGGGAGATGGGTCCAGCGGGCAGTCCCACGACATCACGGGGCCCTGCAGGTGACGATCACGACGATGATGATGATGATGCTGTGGGGAGCGGTGGTGCAGTGGTTAGTGCGCAAGCGCTACGAACTCAAGATACCCGAGTTCGATTCCGGCTCACGGCCAACACCAGTGACGACTATCTGAAGCGGTTCTGGGCCTCCCCTAGGTTGACTCCGCCTCAAATGAGTACCTGGTGCGATGTGCTCGCGAACAACACTTGCCCCTACAGTCTAAGGTTATACGAGGTGTCTTCGTCTATTTGGTGATGCTACAACTGCTGATGTTGCTACTCTAGGCTACCGCAGGGGTCAGCAACCACAATAAGAGCCGCGAGGCGGTGGCGGTCCTTCACAAAGAGCAGTCGCTAAGCAGTCCGCAGGCTGCGGAGCCGAAGCTACCTGATGCGTGTAGATCGATATCGATTCGTACGCGCACGACCCACTCGCAGGACCGCGTGTAAAGCATCGATCAGTGGGAACTCGCGACCCGCAGTCCTCACGGCTCTTAAAAGACTCGAGCCGTGACCTCGAAACGCCTGCCAATTCTGGTGTAAAGATGATGGCTCTGGCTGTAACATCATCATCATCTCGCTGCTATGCTACAGCAGTTCCTGATTACTTCTGCTGCTGACCCCGCTACCAATGTGATGTGTCGCTGTCTCTCTGTCTCTGTGTCGCTGTCTCTCTGAGCTGTAGTCGCTGTCTCTCTGTGTTATTGTCTCTGTGTCTCTGAGCTGTAGTTGCTACCTCTGTGATGCTGTATCTGTGTCTCTGTGATGCTGTCTCCGTGCTGTAGTCGCTACCTCTGTGTTGTTGTCTCCGTGCTGTGTCGCTGTCTCTGTGTTGTTGTCTCTGTGTTGTTGTCTCTGTGTTGTTGTCTCCGTGCTGTGTCGCTGTCTCTGTGTTGTTGTCTCTGTGTTGTTGTCTCCGTGCTGTGTCGCTGTCTCTGTGTTGTTGTCTCTGTGTTGTCTCCGTGCTGTGTCGCTGTCTCTGTGTTGTTGTCTCTGTGTTGCTGTCTCCGTGCTGTGTCGCTGTCTCTGCTGTTGTCTCTGTGCTGTCTCCGTGCTGTGTCGCTGTCTCAGCTGTTGTCTCTGTGCTGTCTCCGTGCTGTGTCGCTGTCTCTGCTGTTGTCTCTGTGCTGTCTCCGTGCTGTGTCGCTGTCTCTGCTGTTGTCTCTGTGCTGTCTCCGTGCTGTGTCGCTGTCTCTGCTGTTGTCTCTGTGCTGTCTCCGTGCTGTGTCGCTGTCTCTGCTGTTGTCTCTGTGCTGTCTCCGTGCTGTGTCGCTGTCTCTGTGTTGTCTCTGTGTTGCTGTCTCCGTGCTGTGTCGCTGTCTCTGCTGTTGTCTCTGTGCTGTCTCCGTGCTGTGTCGCTGTCTCTGCTGTTGTCTCTGTGCTGTCTCCGTGCTGTGTCGCTGTCTCTGCTGTAGTCGCGGCGTCGCAAGGCCGCAGCTCCACGTGGGCCGCGCAGCTTCCTGTCCGCGAGGCTGTTTCCGGTGAGAAATCCGCGGCAGCCAACCACAAAGGAAATCCGCAGAAGCTCTCCCAACTCTCCACTCGGATTTGTTACCAAGGACCCACTGAGCTGTCGCTCTTTTTCAGAAGTGACCTGGCCACAAATGATAGCTCAACGCAGCGGCTCATCATCACGTGGACATTTCTCGCAGCCAAACATTCAAAACGCGTGGTGATTCTAAATGTGGAGGGTAAAAACCAGAGGACCCGGAGAAAACTCCACTCCACAAATACACAAGACTCGGTTGAACCCTTTCTGTCAATAAAACAGCTGCGTTAAGATGTTAAACCACCAAACCGAAACATTTCTGCAAGGCATCATGTCTGCAATAACCACATATACTTGTGGTGAACATGCAAACATAGACACACGCTCTGGCCGTGTATGATGCATTGCCTTTGAAACTGATTGGTCCACACCAGAGACACACCGGGCTCTAAAGAAAGCGTGTTTATGTGTTCATGTTCACCACACGTTTATGTGGTTAATGCAGACACAATGCCTTGCAGAAGGTTCAGTTTGGTGCTTTAACATCTTAACGCAGCTGTTTTCTTACCAGAAAGGGTAAAGCCTCCTCTTATTCTAGATTCTACTCTAATATGTTGATACCCACAACGTCAGTGGCCTCGTCAGCGGCTCGGGGTCGATCCCTCCGAGGCGAGGCGCTCAGATGCCCGTCCCCGCGCCGCCAGCAGGAGGCAGCAGGAGGCGCGGGCGGCGAGTCGCGGGCCGCCTCCTCCGCCTCGCCCGGCACCACGTCCGCAGCTGCGCCCGTCGCGAGCCCGCGGGGTTCTCCCTCCCGAGACAACAGCAAAGACAACAGCGGCAGCAGCAGCAGCGACAGCGGCGGCAGCAGCAGCTATGGAGGCGGCGGCACTGTTCACGGAGTCCACGGAAGAGGAGTCGTCGTCGTCGTCGTTCTTCAGGGAGGGCGAAGGCGGCGAAGGCGGCGCGGCCCGGGACGACGACGACGACGAGGAGGAGGCGGCGGCGGAGGCGGCGGGGGAGGCCGCAGCCGCCGCCTCCTCGGCGCGCTCCTTCACCCTCTACGCGGCGCGGGGATGCGGGTACGCGGGGTGTGTGTGGGGGTCCCTCTCGGGGAAAACATTCAGGCTGGCGCTGCCCACGAGCCATCACGGGTTTAACCAGCAGGTCGCATTGTGAGGAGCTCACAGACCCTTTGACGGATCTGTGACAACATTCCCATCGGCGAGCTCCTCCAGCAGGGCCACGTAGCCCGCATGCCCAGCCACCGCATGGCCCCCAAGCAGCTTCTGTTTGGCCGGAGAGATGGAGCTGATGTAGTACAGGAAGATGTGGAGCTTAGTGGACTTGCCAAAATCGGCCTCTGTGGAGGAGGAGGCTCGTGAAGGACGCTGCTGCTGCTGCTGGAGGCAGTCGTCCTCCAGCAACAACGGAGGGTGGAGGAGCGACGCTCACAACAACGAACGGAGCGCCGGGCGGATAAAATTCAGAAAGTTGTCACAGTAGGGGTCACAGCTGGTGTGCATCTGTCGGTCATCTCGGTCATTCAACCCGTGGCACCTGTTGGGTCTGTCCCGACACCTGTCAGCGAGCTGTCGACACTTCACGTGGCCTTAAAGTGCACCTAGCCTGGCACAGGCGCCGTGGTGACGCCACCGTCACTTAGTGGGGAATGGAATTGGGGGGGGGGGGGGGGGAGACGGGAGACCAGACGGGCCCTGGGAGGGAAGGGGATATTCAGGGAGACCGCGGGGGTAGAGACGGGGACAGAGACGGGGGGAGGTCACAGGACCAAGGGGAGACGGGGGGGGGCAGGAGGCGAAGGGGGGGCAGGAGGAGAAGGGGGGGCAGGAGGAGAAGGGGGGGGGGGCAGGAGGGGAAGGGGGGGCAGGAGGCGAAGGGGGGGGGCAGGAGGCGAAGGGGGGGGCAGGAGGGGAAGGGGGGGCAGGAGGAGAAGGGGGGGGGCAGGAGGGGAAGGGGGGGCAGGAGGAGAAGGGGGAGCAGGAGGAGAAGGGGGGGCAGGAGGGGAAGGGGGGGGTAGGAGGAGAAGGGGGGGGGCAGGAGGGGAAGGGGGGGTAGGAGGAGAAGGGGGGCAGGAGGGGAAGGGGGGGGCAGGAGGGGAAGGGGGGGTAGGAGGAGAAGGGGGGGCAGGAGGAGAAGGGGGGGGCAGGAGGAGAAGGGGGGGGTAGGAGGAGAAGGGGGGGGGCAGGAGGGGAAGGGGGGGTAGGAGGAGAAGGGGGGGCAGGAGGGGAAGGGGGGGGCAGGAGGGGAAGGGGGGGTAGGAGGAGAAGGGGGGGCAGGAGGAGAAGGGGGGGCAGGAGGAGAAGGGGGAGGCAGGAGGAGAAGGGGGGCAGGAGGAGAAGGGGGGGGGCAGGAGGGGAAGGGGGGGCAGGAGGAGAAGGGGGGGGGGCAGGAGGAGAAGGGGGAGCAGGAGGAGAAGGGGGGGCAGGAGGGGAAGGGGGGGGGGTAGGAGGAGAAGGGGGGGGCAGGAGGGGAAGGGGGGGTAGGAGGAGAAGGGGGGGCAGGAGGGGAAGGGGGGGGTAGGAGGAGAAGGGGGGGCAGGAGGCGAAAGGGGGGGCAGGAGGAGAAGGGGGGGCAGGAGGAGAAGGGGGGGGGGCAGGAGGGGAAGGGGGGGCAGGAGGCGAAGGGGGGGGGCAGGAGGAGAAGGGGGGGCAGGAGGCGAAGGGGGGGGGCAGGAGGGGAAGGGGGGGCAGGAGGAGAAGGGGGGGGGCAGGAGGGGAAGGGGGGGCAGGAGGAGAAGGGGGAGCAGGAGGAGAAGGGGGGGCAGGAGGGGAAGGGGGGGGGGGTAGGAGGAGAAGGGGGGGGGCAGGAGGGGAAGGGGGGGTAGGAGGAGAAGGGGGGGCAGGAGGGGAAGGGGGGGGCAGGAGGGGAAGGGGGGGTAGGAGGAGAAGGGGGGGCAGGAGGAGAAGGGGGGGCAGGAGGAGAAGGGGGAGGCAGGAGGAGAAGGGGGGCAGGAGGAGAAGGGGGGGGGCAGGAGGGGAAGGGGGGGCAGGAGGAGAAGGGGGGGGGGCAGGAGGAGAAGGGGGAGCAGGAGGAGAAGGGGGGGCAGGAGGGGAAGGGGGGGGGTAGGAGGAGAAGGGGGGGGGCAGGAGGGGAAGGGGGGGGTAGGAGGAGAAGGGGGGGCAGGAGGGGAAGGGGGGGTAGGAGGAGAAGGGGGGGCAGGAGGCGAAGGGGGGGCAGGAGGGGAAGGGGGGGCAGGAGGAGAAGGGGGGGGCAGGAGGAGAAGGGGGAGGCAGGAGCAGAAGGGGGGGCAGGAGGGGAAGGGGGGGCAGGAGGAGAAGGGGGGCAGGAGGAGAAGGGGGGGGCAGGAGGAGAAGGGGGGCAGGAGGAGAAGGGGGGAGCAGGAGGAGAAGGGGGGCAGGAGGAGAAGGGGGGAGCAGGAGGAGAAGGGGGGCAGGAGGAGAAGGGGGGGCAGGAGGGGAAGGGGGGGGGTAGGAGGAGAAGGGGGGCAGGAGGAGAAGGGGGGCAGGAGGGGAAGGGGGGGGGTAGGAGGAGAAGGGGGGCAGGAGGAGAAAGGGAAGGGCAGGAGGAGAAAGGGGGGGCAGGAGGAGAAGGGGGGGCAGGAGGAGAAGGGGGGAGCAGGAGGGGAAGGGGGGGCAGGAGGAGAAGGGGGGCAGGAGAAGGGGGGGCAGGAGGAGAAGGGGGGGGCAGGAGGAGAAGGGGGGGCAGGAGGAGAAGGGCGGGGCAGGAGGGAAGGGGGGGCAGGAGGAGAAGGGGGGGCAGGAGGGGAAGGGGGGGGCAGGAGGAGAAGGGGGAGCAGGAGGAGAAGGGGGGGCAGGAGGAGAAGGGGGGGGGCAGGAGGAGAAGGGGGGGGGCAGGAGGAGAAGGGGGGGCAGGAGGGGAAGGGGGGGGGTAGGAGGAGAAGGTGGGGCAGGAGGAGAAGGGGGGGCAGGAGGAGAAGGGGGGGCAGGAGGAGAAGGGGGGGGCATGAGAAGGGGGGGCAGGAGGAGAAGGGGGGGCAGGAGGAGAAGGGGGGAGCAGGAGGAGAAGGGGGGGCAGGAGGAGAAGGGGGGGCAGGAGGAGAAGGAGGAGAAGGGGGGGGCAGGAGGAGAAAGGGGGGGCAGGAGGAGAAGGGGGGGCAGGAGGAGAAGGGGGGGGCAGGAGGAGAAGGGGGGGCAGGAGGAGAAGGGGGGGGCAGGAGGAGAAGGGGGGGCAGGAGGAGAAGGGGGGGGCAGGAGGAGAAGGGGGGGCAGGAGGAGAAGGGGGGGGCAGGAGGAGAAAAGGGGGGGCAGGAGGAGAAGGGGGGGCAGGAGGAGAAGGGGGGGGAAGGAGGAGAAGGGGGGGCAGGAGGAGAAGGGGGGGGCATGAGGAGAAGGGGGGGCAGGAGGAGAAGGGGGGGCAGGAGGAGAAGGGGGAGCAGGAGGAGAAGGGGGGGCAGGAGGAGAAGGGGGGGGCAGGAGGAGAAGGGGGGGGCAGGAGGAGAAAAGGGGGGGCAGGAGGAGAAGGGGGGGCAGGAGGAGAAGGGGGGGCAGGAGGAGAAGGGGGGGCAGGAGGAGAAGGGGGGGGGCAGGAGGAGAAGGGGGGGCAGGAGGAGAAAGGGGGGGCAGGAGGAGAAGGGGGGGCAGCAGCGAGAGAGAAGTGGAAGTTCCGAGATGTCCGAGACGAGACCGCAGGGAATCTAACGAAGCAGAGTCTGGAAACTCCACGGTGACCACTGGGATTTTTGCACACAGCGTTGGTGTACGGTGTTTTTTTCTGCAATATTTTGCTGTCTTTTCTTAGATGTTCTGTTTGCACTTAGTCATATATTCACTTTAAGATGTTTTTTGTTCATGTTTTTTGTTTGTTGCGGTTGCACCCGATTCAAGAGCAGAATGGCTCACAGGGCTATACCTAATAAATGAACTTGAACTTGAGGGGGACAGGGGGCGAAAGGATCGGCCCGAGGGAGCCAGGAAGGCGAGAAGAGACCGGGGAGAACAGGGAGAGTGGCAGCCCCTCGCCTGGGGCCTCCACACGGGACCGAGGGTTGAGTCGGAATGAAGCCTTCGGTGTCGCCTGAATCCTTTGCCCGGGCTGGGCTGCGGGGTCCCGGCCTGGCCTGGAGTCCGTGGCCCGGCGCTGCGTCCACGGCGCTGGGTTGGGTTGGGGTCAAAGCGACGCGGCACCGGAGTTTGAACTTCTCCCGGGTTCACTCTGACAAGGGAAGTCGTTCTAAGGCTGATTGCTGTGCGGGTGAGCTTGCGAGCACCCACGTGGATCGTTCACGTCGTCCCAAGTTCTCGTTTCCTTCCCACGTCCCCTTGATTATTGTCATGATTATAAGAAGTTCGGCTGGCTTATGTGGAAATGCATAGCAGCCAAATGCTCTAAATCGCATGTTTCTAAACGTGGAGGGGAGCACCGGACGACCTGGAGAAAAATCCACGCGACCACAGGGAGAGAGACACGCAAACTCCAAATATACAGCAGCAGGCGTCGGGGTTGGACCCACGACCTCCTGCATACCAGGCGAGGTAGTTAACATCCCCTAGCCACTGTGATGATGAGAGAGAGAGACAGACACGGAAACTCCACAGATACAGCAGGTGTCAGGGTCGGAATCGAACCCATGACCTGTATACCAGGAGAGGTAGTTAACATCTAGCCACCGCTAAGTTTTCACACGAGGGGACTTGCTACCGTGTGTAATTCCAATTGAGTCATTCGCAGTTAATTAGTCAACGTTGGGATGTGGTTTTGGCCAGTGACACCGCGCGCAGCTATGAGAAGAAACTCATGCAGAACAGGGCGAGACAACATACACACCCCAACACAGTGGCCCCCAAGTTCGGAGTCGAACCCAGGTCCCTTTTTGCTGTGAGGCACGAGTTATACGATTTCGCCTGCCTGCCGCCAGATTAGTGTCACGCGTGTCATGTTTCAAGTAATTCACTGAAGGCTGGGAGCTCGTGGATTAATTAATTATTCATGGCAGAAGGCAATGGTTTGACACAGACACGAAACTGAACGCGCGAGCAGCAAGGTAGGGGGGTATACATTGTCGATGTAGGTTGGCTTTCTGTACCCAGTTAACAAGTCACTTCATCATAATCCCAATAATTACGTACATCGTTAAAGTACGTGAAATATTTCAGATTTACTGCAATATACACCCGTCCTTGGACGGGCAAAAAAGCTCGTGTGAAATATACATCCGGGATTATGGAACTGTGTCAATGATGTTATAATTGTAATGGCGCCACGGTGACGAGATGTTTTCTCTATAGATTTGATGTTTGCTCCCTCGCCTGGTATGCAGGAGGCGTTGGTTCAAATCCGACCCTGACGCCTCTACAGTATATTTGGAGTTTGCATGTCTCTCCGCGTGGACGCGTGGATGTTTCTCCGGGTCCTCCAGTGTGTTTCCCTCCACGTTTATAAATATGCGTTTAGAGTATTTGGCTGATATAAATTTTCACATGGTAAACCACTGCGTTGAGCTATTATATGTGGCCAGGTCGCTTCTGACAAAGAGCTACACAGCTCATTGAGCCTTGTTAAAATTAAACATAGTTTTCTATAGTATGCTAAATGTGTGTGTTTGTGGTGCCTCTCTGTATCTAACAGGGCCAAGTCACGAAAAGCCTCAATTACGGACACACTGCAGCAGCAGGAGGCTTCTGACCAAGACTTACGGTGAGGATGTTTTCGTAGTTGCCTCTTCTAAGAGTTTCCTTCAGTATAGAGTCATTAAACTTGATTTGGAGCTTTCGTGACTGCAGGGATTTCTTTCTCTCTGCCCCTCTCTCTATTTAAGGCCTCGACACAGAGGCGTTGTTTCTCTGTGTGCCTATGTGTGTGTGTCTCTCTGCTTATCTCTCTCTGCTTATGTGTCTGTTTATGTGTCTCCGTGTCTGTGTTTTGTCTCTCTCTCAAATTTAGCACTCTTTGGAAGAAAGTAATCCACCAGGTAGTGTGTTGACTGTTATGTTAGCCGACTGTGTTGTATTGCATTATATTTCTGAGTTTGCTAGGTTTGTTTTTTCTCATTCATTCGTACCTGATGATGATTGCTTGTGTTGCAATCGAAACATCGTATTCTATTATTTAATCTATTTTGTTTCTACGTGACTTTACCGAAAGAACCATAACGTATACAGTCATTGATGTATTAAGCTCCCTATTAATTGCATTAATCTCTAAATTTTATTAAAATACATTGCTTCAGCTTGTATGTGCAGTGACATAGCGCTGACTGTTGTACAGCAGCCGCAACTGCAGGTGGGCACTTAGCGCACACTCCGCTGAGCATATACGCGGGTGTGCTGGCAGGGTGGAGGAACTAGGGCAAAGGTCAAGGTAGACCTCGTTGGGAAGCCCCTGGAACCATCTGGAGGGTTCGAGAAGGGAGGCGCGGCTAGGGCGGAGCCAAGCCGCGCTGAAGGGAATAAAAGCGGCGGAGAGCTCTGGGCTGCTGGTTATGGGATTGGACTCGTCGCTCTCGTCGCTGCCGCCTTCGTCCGGGCATTGCGCGACCGGACAGTACTTGGCTGTCCCAGTCGACGCCGTCAGTGCAACGCGGACAGGGTCGTGTCTGGGATGGGTCGTGCGGCAGCGTGGTCGTGAGACAGAGGGGGCCCGAGTGGTGGCGTGAACTCAACAACAATAAAAGGGGAGGATGGTGCCTCCTGCGACTACCTCGTCTCCGACTGAGTGTGTGTGCGATACGCGCCACCCGCACACACACACAAGCCTCGAGCGTCGAGAAGAGAGAACGAGCAGAAGAGGCACTCACCGACACCACATATGTATGTGGAACTTCTTCCGCACCGTACGTAACCAACCGCGCTAATCGGAGGCTTGTGTCTTGCAGGGATGAGAGTTAACATTTTTAAGTGATGGTTATAATGGAGCGGTAGAGATGATTATGACTAGCAGGCCATCTTATTACTCCAAGATGTATAATATAATAACCTAGTCTGAGAGAGGCATATACTTCCTTTATTGTTTAGCAGTCTCTATTATACATTCTTGGAGATGCACGCCGGTAGTGAAGAACGGTGGCGCAACTGCGCATTTGTAGGATGTCGGTGGTTGTGAGTGACCAGTCGACGATAATTGGTTAGCTATGTGTGTGTGTATGCTGTCGGTGGTTGTGAGTGACTTGTCGTCTGTGGTTGGCACTATGACCGTGGTTGTGGAGAGGCTGACGGTGGTTGTAAGTGGTTGTGCTGTGACCTTGGTTGTGGACAGGCTGACAGTAGTTGTGAGTGGTTGTGGACAGGTTGACGGTTGTGAGTGGTTGTGGACAGGTTGACAGTGGTTGTGAGTGGTTGTGTTGTGACCGTGGCTTTGAACAGGCTGACAGTGGTCGCGAGCGACCTGGCAGCTGAGTGTGAGGCAGAGCTCCGCAGCTTCATCGCCAGGCGCCTGGAGAAGGGCGCTCTCTATGGCAGCATCGGCAGCGTCGCCACTCTCAACCTCACGTACGGCCAGCAGCAGCCACACACAGATCTAAACCTTAAACAGGAATATTCAACCCAAAACACAACACACCTATTATATTACAATTTTTTATTTTACCTGGCAAGGCCCACTGAGCTACAGTATTTAGCTCTTTTTCAGAAGTGACCTGGCCACAAATGATAGCTCAACGAAGTAGCTTATCATCACGTGGAAATTTATAGCGGCCAAATACTATAAACGCACGTTGATTCTAAATGTGGAGGGAAAAACCGGAGGACCACTGGGAGAACATGCAGACTCCAAATATACAGGTGACAGGGTCTGTATCGAACCCACGACCTCCTGCATACCAGGCGAGGCAGTTAACATCTCAAAACAGCGGTGCCCTTATTAACTCCCATGCTACGTGTCCCGGGCTACCCAACACACATTTGAGCTGCTGTTAAATGATGAAAAGGGACTGCAAATACAACAACCAAACAGGCTCACATGCCACTGCCACTGTTTGTGAGTGAATACAAAACCAAACGTGAAGCATACACAGACATATGCTGAAGGAACAATTATATCTTGGAAATGGGATTATCCGAGTCGCGTGTGTGACACTGTTGCCTGTGCAGGTCAGCCGACGACAGCACGGCCTGCTACTACTGCCTGCTGCAGCAACCATTACCAGCGGTGGCGGAGAGTGTGGAGAGTGTGGAGAGTGCGGAGCGTGTGGAGAGTGCGGAGCGTGTGGAGAGTGCGGAGCCCGGGGAGCCCGGGGAGGATGGAGGAAGCGGCAGGGAGGAGGGCTCCAATGGAGCCATGGCTGCTGATTACGTCATTTGTTTTTTGGGTCTGACAGAGCAGGGCCTCGAGTTATATCCTCCGCTAGAATGTGTACTTTGTTAAGTGGCAGCAGAGTGTTTCGGGGATCACGGACGCCGAGCGGACACGTTGAGATCCTGGGTTCAAATCTTGGTTGAAGAATATTGGTTTAAGATGCCACTGATTAAAACGGGTTCTGAAATGAGAATCATGTCTGCATTAACCACAATACTTGTGGTCAGGATGCAAACAAAAAACATACTCTGATAAATATATGCATTGTCTTTGAAACTGATTGGTCTACACCAGAGACGGCTTTCTTTTAAGCCTCGTCTTAAAACGGTGTTAGACCAGAGGACGCCAAAAGGCGTACAGCACGAAGACAACGCACTATCAGAGTGATGCGAGCTCGGGCTGAGCAGCTACATCATGGGACCTCCTTTGCCAGTACCAAAATATGAGAATAGGTTTTCGCCTTTTTTCTGGCAACAAACAGGTGTTAAGTTGTTAAAACACCAAACTGAAACCTCTTACAAGGAATCTTGTCTGCATTAACCACAATACTCGTGGTCAGAATGCAATAAATGTAGGGACTTTTGATGGTCTCAGCTCAGGCGGCAATGACTGCACACACAACAACAAAAAATTTCATAACTTTTACACTCTGGCTAAATGTTCTAATTTAGCTAAATTCCATCTGATAATTAAAAGTATAACATTTTGCTTTGGCTTGCAAATAAACATCTCTATAGCACGAAATATGGCAAAGTGCAGCACCACTAGTGGGGACAGGAGATCACTTGAAGGGATCTCAAGCCCTTTTGTGTCATGTCTACTTCAAATGGCCGTTCCCTGACATTCCATGATCCTGAAAACAACACTTATATAACGGTGGGGTGTAGGGGGGGTGAAACAAAGATAAACCAAAAAGGACTATATTTAAAATCTCTACTTATCCCACTCGCTTTAGGAGTCTCGTTCACGAACAACTCTGGTAAATGACACCACAGAACCACTTCTGAATTTGTCATGGCTTGATAACAAGCCAAGTTGGCTGTGTGGGCACCACGGTGGCGAGGAGATGTTATCTTCCTCACCTGGTATGCAGAAGGTCATGGTTCCCGACCCCGACACCTGTGTATTTGGATTTTGCACGTTCTCCTTGTGGTCGCGTGAATTCTCCTCCGGGTCCTCCGGTTTTGCCCTCCACATTTAAAAACATGCGTTTCGAGAATTTTGCTGCTTTAAATTTCCACATGATAAGCCACTTCATTAAGATATTTGTGGCCAGGTTGCTTCTGAGAAAGAGCTACATAGCTCAGTGGGCTTTATCTGGTAAAATAAAACATAGGTTAGAATAAACCCCAGACCGATGTTATAGGACCTTAACACTCCCTTACGTTCAGGCCAGAGCTGGACAAGTATGCGGCTGGGTTGCTGGCGTATCTGGATGCCGAGGTAAGTGCGACAAGTCACAAAACTCCACTTGTGTGTAGTTCACCTATGTAGAACAGCATCCATTGACGTCTAATGACGCCTCTGTTATACCCACACAACCTCTACTCGGCGTGTAAGCATACGTCTCAGGAATCCGTTAGTCCTTTAACACTGTGGTAATGTATGTTGAACTTCTTTCGCACCGTACGTAGCCAACTGTGCTGATTGGTAACTTCTACCCTCTCCGTCCCAACCAATCGTCCCCTCTCAACGTGTCCCCCACTCCTGTGTAGCGAGAGTGTCGAGGTGCAGTCGCATTTAGATGCTTGACACGCACGGAGATTGTTTTCTCTGTAGGTGGGCACGGAAGGCTGGCACGGAGCGACATACCTGGGTGGCTGGCTTGAGGACGCGGTTCTCTACATCCACCGCGTGCTGCGCACCCTCAACGGGCACATCGCCATGCTGCTACACGCCGTGCGTCTTGCGTACACGCACCCCAGGCATTACCAATCATCGTCTCAACACATACCTTTAGCGTACACACACATCCAGCGTTACCTATCGTCGCAACACACACACACCCCCAGTGTTTACTGATCATTATCTTAACACGTACACACTGTGTGTGTTAGCGCACACACACGCTCACCAAGTGTTACCGATAATCATCTCAACACAGGTATACAATACACACCGTGTATGGCGAATGCACACACACACACTCCACACTCCTCACCAGCCTAAAAATATATCACACGCAGGCAGCCATAATCTCACACTGGCTCTGACCCAGTGGTAGAAATTCCACGTTACTCTGGCAGGGGACACCATAGTTGATTATAAAAATACATGACATTGATTTACTCACGACTACTTCAATGAGTCTCAAGACTTTTAACAGGGTTCTGCTTGGATGTTTGGACTGTGTCATTTTGTTCATATTTTACGTACGCATTTGGGGCAATGCCTTTCGAATTGATGACGCCTAAAAGCACAGGACGTTTGTCAGAAACGTGTGCAACTTGAGACAAAGTGTGCAGTTGCACTAATGTACTTCCTTGTCTTTGTCGTGAAAAGACAAAACTCCAATTGTTATTCTTCACACTTTTCCTTTTACGATTCCACATATATTTTTGCCCAAATCTCTATGCATTTGGAGAGGTTGTCGTGTTTATCTCCTCTTTAATCGTTCACTCATCGCTGATTACTGTGTTCAATTTACCATAGAACTGGACAATTCCTTCAAGATCATTTCCAAGTTGCACAAGCTATTTAGGACAACATTTTAGATAATTGGAGAGAAAATTAAAAGCAGTCATCCATCACGTTGACAGTCTACAAAATATTGAACGCTGAACAATTTGTTAACTAATATCAGTTGTAATGTTTTGAAGATGCTGGACAAAACAACGCAAGAAATGTGTAAAAATAGATTTGTTTTGAGCAAATAGAATGAATTAGATGGAAACCTCACTCGATGTCAAACAGAAAAGGTCTCCCATCGGCTTGCGTATTGATTTTGTTCGTTGCTTCCGAATGTTTGTTTGTAACACTCGGTGCCTCCGTCCGCTGGCGTCTGTTCCACAGGCTCTGAGTCACGCACATGTGGACGTAGTCGGAGCCAATGAAAAACTCAGCCAAGACATATCCAGGTGGGCACCGTCGATGCAGATGTGACCGTTCAATTTTCATCAAACGTTCAAAAGTTCTGCCGGCTCCTCACCCTCACACGAGTGGCGCTTATCACCCGTGATGGGCCTGAGGCAGTGGTGGAAATTCCACATTGCCGTGGCAGAAGCCAGTTTATGCACGGAACAGCCATAATTGACGACAAGGCGGTGATGGGCCGAGTTGACCCCGAGCCAGGCTTTAAACACGAATCCTTCCGATTGATACATACCTGTCAACCCATACGGTTTACCAATATTCTTGTACAGGGAAATAGATTTTTCAGGTCCATACGACGTACAGCCGTTTCAATTCAGGCAAAAAAATATATTTTTATGATGGAGTTTTGTAGGATGAACGTTGAGATTTTTAAGGGCACGGGGTGACCAATAAGGTCTGAATTGGTCTGTAGTAAGGTAGGCACTGATAAGGAGTTGACAGGTGTGTTATGCTGGTTACTTTAATTTAATATTTTATAGCGAATGTGAATTCACTCCATATCGGCTACGGCAGTTGCTTGACCATACTTCACCACGCTGGTCAGCGCGGGTTGGTGAGGGGTTGGGGACTGCTCAGGACTGGTTCAGATACCACTCTAAAACTAAACTAAACAATTTTTATTTTACCAGGTAAAGCCTACTGAGCTGTGTAGCTCTTTTTCAGAAGAGACCTGGCCACAACTGACAGCTCAACGAAGGGGCTTATCACGTGGAAATGTATAGCAGCCAAGTTCTCTAAGCGCAGACTTCTACAGTGAGGGAAAAAAGTATTTCATCCCCTGCTGATTGTGTACGTTTGCCCACTGACAAAGAAAGATCAGTCTATAATTTTAATGGTAGGTTTATTTGAACAGTGAGAGACAGAATAACAACAACAAAATCCAGAAAAACGCATGTCAAAAATGTTATAAATTTATTTGCATTTTAATGAGGGAAATAAGTATTTGACCCCCTTTCAATCAGAAAGATTTCTGGCTCCCAGGTGTCTTTTATACAGGTAACGAGCTGAGAATACGAGCACACTCTTAAAGGGAGTGCTCCTAATCTCAGCTTGTTACCTGTATAAAAGACACCTGTTCACAGAAGCAATCAATCAATCAGATTCCAAACTCTCCACCATGGCCAAGACCAAAGAGCTCTCCAAGGATGCCAAGGTCAAGATTGTAGACCTACACAAGGCTGGAATGGGCTACAAGACCATCGCAAAGCAGCTTGGTGAGAAGGTGACAACAGTTGGTGCGATTATTCGCAAATGGAAGAAACACAAAAGAACTGTCAATCTCCCTCGGCCTGGGGCTCCATGCAAGATCTCACCTCGTGGAGTTGCAATGATCATGAGAACGGTGAGGAATCAGCCCAGAACTACACGGGAGGATCTTATCAATGATCTCAAGGCAGCTGGGACCATAGTCATCAAGAAAACAGTTGGTAACACACTATGCCGTGAAGGACTGAAATCCTGCAGCGCCCACAAGGTCTCCCTGCTCAAGAAAGTACATATACATGCCCGTCTGAAGTTTGCCAATGAACATCTGAATGATTCAGAGGACAACTGGGTGAAAGTGTTGTGGTCAGATGAGACCAAAATGGAACTCTTTGGCATCAACTCAACTCGCCGTGTTTGGAGGAGGAGGAATGCTGCCTATTACCCCAAGAACACCATCCTCACCGTCAAACATGGAGGTGGAAACATTATGCTTTGGGGGTGTTTTTCTGCTAAGGGGACAGGACAACTTCACCGCATCAAAGGGATGATGGACGGGGCCATGTACCATCAAATCTTGGGTGAGAACCTCCTTCCCTCAGCCAGGGCATTGAAAATGGGTCGTGGATGGGTATTCCAGCATGACAATGACCCAAAACACACGGCCAAGGCAACAAAGGAGTGGCTCAAGAGGAAGCACATTAAGGTCCTGGAGTGGCCTAGCCAGTCTCCAGACCTTAATCTCATAGAAAATCTGTGGAGGGAGCTGAAGGTTCGAGTTGCCAAACGTCAGCCTCGAAACCTTAATGACTTGGAGAAGATCTGCAAAGAGGAGTGGGACAAAATCCCTCCTGAGATGCGTGCAAACCTGGTGGCCAACTACAAGAAACGTCTGACCTCTGTGATTGCCAACAAGAGTTTTGCCACCAAGTACTAAGTCATGTTTGCAGAGGGGTCAAATACTTATTTATCTCATTAAAATGCAAATCAATTTATAACATTTTTGACATGCGTTTTTCTGGATTTTGTTGTTGTTATTCTGTCTCTCACTGTTCATATAAACCTACCATTAAAATTATAGACTGATCATTTCTTTGTCAGTGGGCAAACGTACAAAATCAGCAGGGGATCAAATACTTTTTTCCCTCACTGTACATGTGGAGGGAAAGACAAGAGGACCTGGAGAAAAATCCACGCAACCACAGGGAGAACATGCAAACTCCAATTATACAGCAGGCGTCAGGGTCCGGATTGGACCTACCACCTGCATACCAGGCAAGGTAGTTAACATACCGCCACCATGCCGCCGATGTTAGCCCTGGTCGGGAATCGAACTCGGGTTCGCCAGGTGTCGCAGCGTGCTGAACCACGGCGCCACCGCTGCACCACGGATCTCTCGTTACGGAGGAAATCGAGGGAGACTCCCTCTCTTTTTCCGTCGGCTCTCCGCCAGGTTTGTGCAGACAAGCCGGCTCGAGGGGCTGATGCCGGGGTCCCCTTCTGCGTGCCCCCAGTCGGCGGGCGACAGCATGGTGACGGTCGACTGCAGCACCGACTCCCCAAGCGTGAGGAACGGCAGTGAGTGCGCACCCCCCCTCACCCCCACCCCCCCACCCCCGTCTCTTCCACCCCCGGCTGACTCAACAATTCCCGAAACCGACTTTGCCGAGTCGCCTGCACACTGAACATTGTGTGGGAGGCTGGGACCTCGGCTGGAGACGCCCGCTAAGAGGTCTCACGTTTTATATTTTGCTATTTAAAACTATTTAACTTTTACCAGGTAAGGCCCACTGAGCTGTAAAGCTCTTTTTTCACAAGCGACCTGGCCATCACAAATGATAGGCCAATGAAGTGACTTCTATTAAAACAAATACTCTGAACGCATGCTCATTCTAAATGCGGAGGGAAAACCGGATGGACCCGGAGAAAAATCCACATGACCACGGGGAGATAGAAATACAAACTCCAAATATACAGCAGCAGGCATCAAGGTCGGGACCGAACCCACGACCTCCTGTACACCAGGCGAGGTTGTTAACATCTCGGCACCCAGGTGCCCTACATTGTGGCAGCAGGTGGCAAGGGAAGAGAATGCTGTTCTGGTAGATTATTTGGGTGTCAACATCAATTTCAATGTTTGTTTGGTCAGTGAATTGTGTTGTGAAGTCTGCCGCTCCGGTCCCATGTATCTCTTGCCCCGCACTGCGAAGCCAGCAATAGGTTCTGCGACACGTGGGCAGACGCCCTGACGCGGGCAGCGGAGACCGGCAGCGCCTTTGTCCTGCGCCAGATCCTGGAGAACTTCAAGCTCAAGGTGCGTGACCACGGATGCGGCGGCGACGCCTGGGGATTGCGCTCCCGTCCACACTTTGTATTTGCGACGGCCTGCGAGCTGGAATTACAGCCACATTGGCAAATGTGATTTGTAAATGTAATTCTTGGGAATTGATAATGCAATTTTTAATTAGAAACTTCATAATTATTTATTAAAGGGGCAACATGGTGGTGTGACGTTATCTTCCTAGCCTGGATATGGAGGTCGGGGGTTCGATCCCGACCCTGCCTCCTTTATATTTGGAGTTTGCATGTTCTCCCTGTGGTCGCGTGGATTTTTCTCTGGGTCCTCTGGTTTTTCCCTCCACATTTAGAAACATGCATTGAGATTATTTAGATTTTGGTGCTATAAATGTCCAAATGATGGGCCACTTCGTTCAGCTATCATTTGTGTCCAGGTCGCTTCTGATAAATAAGTTAATACCTCAGTGGGCTTTGCCTGGTAGGATGGGGATGATTTCATTTGATTAAATCCTTTATATTAAGTTCACTTGCTTGCTTGCGTGCTTGCTTGCTTGCTTACGACCGTGCAAATCTTTCGGTCGTTTTTTAACCCACTTCCCGTGATCCAATCGAGCTGACATTTTGCACACAGACTCGTTGTGCGTGACAATTAATTTTCGTGAAAAACATTTCCAAAATTTTACACTGTTTAGGGAAATTTTTTAAAATATTTAATTACCAATTGCTTAATGGTGGCAGACAATCATCTGACCCATAGGTGGCAGCCATCTCAAGCCAGAGGACGAGAGGACTCTAGCCGCCCGTTTCATGATGACGCAAATGTTGACTAACCACATGGCATGAAATCCCTGCCCCCACACTGTACAATGGAGACTATTTAGAGCAGTTAAATTGAAGCCGCCAGGTTCTTGAAAGTGGTCAAACGGGTCAACGCTAGTGCCCTCGGGAATATACGGGGCATGTCAAGAGGTGATCTTACATATAAAGGATTTATAGTGAAAAATTTTGTTTTTACGGGTTAATTTTTTTTTACGTGTTTGGTTGATTTGTTTACCTTTCTTATACCTTGCACTACTATCATGTTTTTGTATTATTTTTCTAACGTGACCCACCCCGACTGGACATCTGTGAAAAAGAGCTTCATATCTTATCGGATTCTTCCAGTATTAATACATATTCTGATTCTGACAGCCGTTAGCAAAGAAAGATTTTTAGGTATGTAGAGGGGTATGTGTGGGGCTGCTGAGGCGATGGGATTGCTGTAGAGCGCTGTGATCAGTTGTGTGGATTGTTGCGGTTGGTACCACGTCAACAAGGAGCTAACACAAAGGAGGCATTGTGATTAGTGAAGTTCTTCAAGTGATCGGAAGCCGCACTGAGTCGGGACTTTATGAAAAAAAAATTGCACTGGATTCTATCTGAAAATCGACTTGAGCAGATGAAACCTATGCAATCTGTCATACATAATCTGTATACAACCTCGCTGCTGTACTACCTCCTTCAGGCACCTTACACACGTGTCACACGCATGGTCTCTCTACAGTCCATCAACCCTCACCTGCACGTCACTCGATGGCTGGACGTGCTTCGTTCCGGGGCACATATTCACGATTTTGTTTATCCTTTTGTTCATTCATCCATGACTGCTGGCTCCCCTGACCTGATCAGGCCATCCAGGACATGAACAGCTTCCAGCGGCTGCTGAATCAGGCGGAGAGCGACCACTACGCGCTCTACCGCTGCCTGCAGTTTGTGCGCGCGTGCGGGAACGGCGGGGTGCTGCTGTCCTGTCCCGCGATGGGGCCGGGCCTCGTGCCAGCGTCACGGCCCGCGGCGCTCAGCGTGCTGCGCGTGCTCGCCGAGTTCACGCGCGAGAATGGGGAGACCCCGTGAGACCCCGTGAGACCCCGTGAGACCCCGTGAGACCCCGTGGGACCCCGTGGGACCCCGTGAGACCCCGTGGGACCCCGTGAGACCCCGTGGGACCCCGTTAGACCCAGTGAGACCCCCGTGAGACCCCGTGAGATGCCGTGAGACCCCCATGGGACCCCGTGAGACCCCGTGGGACCCCGTGAGACCCCGTGAGACCCCGTGGGACCCCGTGAGACCCCGCGAAACCCCGCGAGACCCCGTGGGACCCCGTGAGACCCCGTGGGACCCCGTGGGACCCCGTGAGACCCCGCGAGACCCCGCGAGACCCCACGAAACCCCGCGAGACCCCGTGAGACCCCGAGGGACCCCGTGAGACCCCGTGAGACCCCGTGGGACCCCGTGGGACCCCGTGAGACCCCGCGAGACCCCACGAAACCCCGTGAGACCCCGTGGGACCCCGTGAGACCCCGTGAGACCCCCATGGGACCCCGTGAGACCCCGCGAAACCCCGCGAGACCCCGTGGGACCCCGTGAGACCCCGTGAGACCCTGTGAGACCCCGCGAGACCCCACGAAACCCCGCGAGACCCCGTGAGACCCCGAGGGACCCCGTGAGACCCCGTGAGACCCCGTGGGACCCCGTGAGACCCCGCGAGACCCCACGAAACCCCGTGAGACCCCGTGGGACCCCGTGAGACCCCGTGAGACCCCCATGGGACCCCGTGAGACCTCGTGGGACCCCGTGGGACCTCGTGGGACCCCGTGGGACCCCGTGAGACCCCGTGGGACCCCGTGAGACCCCCGTGAGACCCCCGTGAGACCCCCATGGGACCCCGTGAGACCCCGTGGGACCCCGTGGGACCCCGTGGGACCCCGTGGGACCCCACGAAACCCCGCGAGACCCCGTGAGACCCCGAGGGACCCCGTGAGACCCCGTGAGACCCCGTGGGACCCCGTGAGACCCCGCGAGACCCCACGAAACCCCGTGAGACCCCGTGGGACCCCGTGAGACCCCGTGAGACCCCCATGGGACCCCGTGAGACCCCGCGAAACCCCGCGAGACCCCGTGGGACCCCGTGAGACCCCGTGAGACCCTGTGAGACCCCGCGAGACCCCACGAAACCCCGCGAGACCCCGTGAGACCCCGAGGGACCCCGTGAGACCCCGTGAGACCCCGTGGGACCCCGTGAGACCCCGTGAGACCCCGCGAGACCCCACGAAACCCCGTGAGACCCCGTGGGACCCCGTGAGACCCCGTGAGACCCCCATGGGACCCCGTGAGACCTCGTGGGACCCCGTGGGACCTCGTGGGACCCCGTGGGACCCCGTGAGACCCTGTGGGACCCCGTGAGACCCCCGTGAGACCCCCGTGAGACCCCCATGGGACCCCGTGAGACCCCGTGGGACCCCGTGGGACCCCGTGGGACCCCGTGAGACCCCACGAAACCCCGCGAGACCTCGTGAGACCCCAAGGGACCCCGTGAGACCCCGCGAGACCCCGTGGGACCCCGTGAGACCCCGCGAGACCTCACGAAACCCCGCGAGACCCCGTGGGACCCCGTGAGACCCCGTGAGACCCCATGGGACCCCGTGAGACCCCCATGGGACCCCGTGATACCTCGTGGGACCCCGTGGGACCTCGTGGGACCCCGTGGGACCCCGTGAGACCCCGTGGGACCCCGTGAGACCCCCGTGAGACCCCCATGGGACCCCGTGGGACCCCGTGGGACCCCGTGGGACCCCGTGAGACCCCCGTGAGACCCCCATGGGACCCCGTGAGACCCCGTGAGACCCCGTGAGACCATGTGAGACCACGACGAGGAGGACAACGACCAAACTGGAACAGAAGCAGACTCCACTCCGTATCCCACGTCAAGCGTGTCCCGAGCTCTGCCCATCTCCACACACGTTTAGCGTTTCATTCAGATGGTTCTTTTTAACTACCACCGTTATAACGTTCGGCACAAACGCAGGACGTCAAATGTTGTGGCCAAAACGTAATTTAATTAGCCGTTATCAAATGCTCCTGTCCATTCACCAGACTGTGATTGAAGCAGTCGGGTATCGACATGGCCCATGCCATCTCTGCCCACAAATGATAGCTCAGCAAAGTGGCTTATGTGGAAATTTATAGCAGCCAAATACTCTATAAATGCACATTAAACAAAGAAAATAATTTCGTTGTTTCCATTCATATATGGCCACAAATTATGGCTCAACGAAGTGGCTTATTGCGTGGCCATTTAAACCAGCAGCCAAATACTCGAAGTGGCTTATCATCATGTGGAAGATTAGAGCAGCCAAATACTCTTAAATGCGCATTGATTCTAAATGTGGAGGGAAAATGTGGAGGGAAAAACTGGAGGGCCTGGAGAAAAATCGACGCGACCACGGGGAGAAAGACACGCAAACTCCAAATATACAGTTGTCAGGGTTTGGCAAGGTGGTAAACATCTCACCACCGCTCTGCCCCAAGGATCGGAAGTCGCACATGTCACCACACTGGGCTGCGCTTGGCCCATTGGGCGGGGTCCCGGCACTACGTTCGAGACACGGAGGAGGCATTGAGGAGTTTGCGAAGGGCGCGCCACTGCCTTGCAGACACTGCTACACTCGCTCCGTTTCGGTCCAGCTTGTGCCAAATTCACCACGTCCGGTGTTGTAATTTAATTGAATGCACGTGAGACACTGCTGCCGAGTTAACCCTTGAACTATTATTTATTAAATAATAAATAAAATATCCTTATCGGTACGTCTTCACGTCAGAAGATGTACCGAGGCTCCCACAAGGCCATGTGGGGGAAGGCGTGCGGCAGGGTTTGGCGCCAGCTATCATAGCGTGCGGTCGTGTCACTACGGTTCTCTGCGGTGAGTACAATGTATTTAAAAACAACGGCGCTACGACGTCGCTCTTAATAAAGTTAACGCTGAGCCGCTCGCGCGTGCTGAGGTTCAGCAGCGGTGAACGGGACACCCACCCTGCAACTTTACAGACGTCTCGGGAACGGGAAAGGGTTAACCTGCTTTGAAAGTTACGTAACCACGAACACGGCATTCCGTTTGGACGGAGGCGAGATGGGGAAAGGCGGAGAGTAGTACCGAGGAGAAATTTAAAGCATTGTGGCCAAGCACACGAAATGATTCCGTTTGGCACGTTTGATTTTTAAATGTTCATGGTTTGCTTTGGTTGTTTTAATTCCACTCTGTGGCGAAGTGTGGTTTCCGTTGTCGAGTTCATTCCTTTGCACGAAAAGATGCTGATAAAAATGTATGTTCACGCGACTCAACTTTTTGGGCAAAAAGTCAACACGCTGCTTTAATTTTCCAAGTTTTTTTTATTAATTTTAAATCAAAACTGAAACATCTGCCTGGTGCACGTTTCCAAGACGACTGCCCAGAGCTTGTTGTGGGAATGTAACTAAACGTGAGCACTGACCTTCAGGATGTAACTGACCTTCATAAATGTTTTAGACGACTGACTTTACCAGGATTTTATATTCAAAGGTAATCTCCACGCTGTTTTATTTGCTGTAATTATTGAGGTCAAAGTGCCGGTGCGAGTGTAGTTGCTGTACATTGTTAATTAGCTCCCTGTCCACACAGCTGGAGCGCATGAGCTATCGCACCAGCGATGGGTTTTGTTTGCCGATGTAACAATTGGTAGTCTTCACTATGATACCGAATAAAGTAATTTATTCCGTGGAATAACAACAGCGCCTGCGTTCGTCTTTGTGGAGACCCCAGTTGGTATGTTTGCGTCGGACTCAAACAAATCGTTTGGTGCTTCCGGGGTTGGCAGTGGTGCAAGATGCAGAAATAATCTCAAACACATTTGGCAATAACAGCCTTAAAAGGAGACGTTTACGTTGAATAACTTTTTTTTCCACTTCTTGTTGCTGGGGGAGATTTTTTTTTTTTCACGAACTCGTTGACTTGAGTGATTAGAACCGCAGATATCCCCAGAGTATAATGTTAAAAAAAAAACTATCGGCAGTCAACGTTAAGTAACGGGGTTGTGGGTAATGGCAGACAAGCTACAAGATTTTTCTGTTTGCGCATAGTCACTTTAAGATGTTTTCTTGTTCATGTTTTTGTTTGTTGCGGTTGCACCCGATTCAAGAGCCGAATGGCTCACAGGGCTATACCAAATAAACTGAAACTGAAATAAACTGAAGAGGTGTAAGGACGAGCTTCACAGAACGCGAACAGTGGTGCTGGTTCCGTGGCGGCTGGCAGAATTGCGAGCATCTTGTGAAGCGAGGGCCGGGTAAGCGTCGGTCGGACGCAGAGTCATCTCGCCGCAGTTCAACTCGCGTCGAATGGTGCAGTGAGTGAATGTGATTATTCGCGTAAAAAGGGAACGCATCAATATACCGCCACCCGATGTTAGTTGTCAACCGCCAGCATCGGACGTCCTTTCTCGCATCCATCGCGTCTCGGCCACCACCACCGACCCTGGACACAAACTGCCTCGCGTCGCGCGACTGGAGAGTGCACCATTGTTTATATACGGTATTTTGATGGTTTAAATAGTGTGTTAAGGTTGACTACTGTACACGAGTGGGAGTACAGTATTTTAAGTAATTTAACGCTTGTATGTTGAACTTCTTTCGCACCGTACGCAGCCAACCGTGCTAATCAGAGGTGCGATGTAACGTTGTGGGTACGTCCAGGATGAAGATGTGCACATTCACACGCAGCTTCACCGTTACCCCTCCGTTGTCTTTGTTTAGCTCTCGTGGATAAATGGCTTTAATTTGCGTCATTTCAATATTCGTCGTCACACATTTCAGGAACGCGTCCCCGATGCAAACTGGGGTATCGCCGAGTTCGGAGACGGGACACCAAGGAGGGTCTGAGTCCGGTGGAGACGATGCCGAGCCCAAGTGAAGTCTCCAGGATGGAGCCCAGGGTCGAAAAGAGGTCGCAAGTTGGCACTGTGTGGGGAGCAAGCGACAGGGGAACGTCAAGCGGAGTATGACCTCGGGCAGGCGCCGTGCGGTGGCGAGATGCAGAAGAGAGTGCATTTACCTTTTCCACTATGACGTCACTGTTAGACACCTGATCTGACAAACGGAACTCCAAAGAGACTGGTCAAACGCTTGTAAGTGTCCAAGCGATGTTCAAGGCATGCCACTAGTTTATCAATGACCACAAAATGTTTCTATTTTGAACTTCTCCCTCCCCTCAAGTGTCACACCTGGCTCTGAGCTCTCATCTGCAAATGTTTTGCGTTTCCTCTTTCGCTGAAGATCGTGCTTATATGACTGAGAGACACCTGTCACATCTAAGGCTGCCCTTTCAAAAGCCTCAAACTGGTCTCGCTGTCCAGCCACAAAATCCCTCAACGAAGACAAAAGCTGTGCTGCTACAGAGATGTCAATGCCACTTGTCTGTAGGTGCAAGCTTGTCGCGTGGAACCGGTCAAGTATGACATCCCAGAAAGGTGCCATGAACACCATCTCTAAGGTGTCCAATTTATCACAGTCCAGCGGCCTCAATTCGAGTATCTCTTTTCTCATTATCACCTTGGTTGACTGCCCGAGCACTCCACCGAGTACTGGACAGCGATTTTAATGTCAGTCTGACATCTGTCTTCCAAAAGACTTGCCCCCATCTGTGTAGATGAAGAACAAAATGTGTACAGTGACTGCAACATGTAAAAAATCTCGTCAGCCTCTGGGCTACTGCCATCTAAGGTGTTAACACCAACTAAGTTAAGTGAATGTGCGGCGCAAGGCACATACTCTATCAGAGGGTTTTTTGTTTCAGGTGGGCCTGTAGCCCATTGTATTTTTCTGACATGTTGCTTGCATTGTCATATGACTGACCTCGACATCAAAGTCACAGTCTGCTCAACTATACCAGTGTGGCTCTCAATTGGCTCAAAGCCCAGGAATCTATCCACCACATTCCCGCTGCTGTTAACAAACCGGAATATGAACGTCAAATGGTCCACATCTGACAGGTCTGGGGTGGAGTCAACAACTATTGAAAATATTTGGCATCCCGAATCTCATCTGCTATTGTTTGGCGAGTTTTTTGACCCATCAGCTCAATGTCGATGACAAATAGGACACTGTACCTCTTCCTTTTCCGCCAAACGTTTTAATATGTTCAGCTACGAATGGGTCAAATTGATCTGCATCTATAGCACTGCCCTTTGTCTGCTGGTGCAAGGCAAGCATGCGTGATCTGTGTTCTGCACTCTTTTCGTGTTCCCCTATTCTTTCAGAGTGCTTCCAGACACTAAACCCCTGCCTAAAGCCACCCGAGCTTGCTGGAGAACAGTCGCATGCAAAACAGTGCACACAACGTGACTACAGTAGCCACTGTCTATAAACCTGCCCATTTGGCAATATACAGTTCAGAAGTTCAATGTTGAAACTTCTAGTCTTTCCACCAAGTGCTCGATCTCGGACTGAAGCTGGGTATTTTTCACTGTGGTTTTGGAAGGGGACTCTTTCAATAAGCACTGACTTAACAATGTCACTGGAAGCGCTTTGGTTGCTGATTTTATTATTGTGAACTGCCGAACTGCTCCTGAAGTGGAAATGATGGTTCTTGTATACCATTAGCTGTTGAGGGTTCGCCTTCAAAGGATGGCTCTGGGGGAGTGACAACATTACTAAAACACTCAACTTTCTCACAGCTGGCAAGTTCTG